TTCATTTACAAAATAATGGTAAAACTAATTTGTTGTATAGAACTAAAGGCAGCATATATATACAAACATGAAACACCACGTTTCTATATTTAATTTCTGCATATTTTTACACATATCTATTTATACAATACACAGGAACATAATTTAATTCAGGGGTTTTGTATGATATGTATATTTATATATGTAAAATATGCAGCCAGCAAAACCCCCTCAGACAAATTCTTTTTTCCATTCACATCCTAAGGAAAGCGTCTGGAGAAATGCACTCCCACATAACAGCAATCAGTCCAAGCCACAGATAATCTTGCACTCAGTGCGCCTTTGCATGTTGGAAATCAATCTCATCGCAAAACAAAAGACGAAAAGCATTTATCTTTGTTTTATTTTATAACAGAAAAAACAACAGTGTTTTGAAAATTGACACCCTCCCCTCTGTTTTCTATTATTTTACATAATGCAGGTGTGACTCATGCTGCCATCATGTCTTTGGGTTTTTGGCTGTGGTTCTAAACCACTGTCGGCCCAAACATAAGATGCAACACCAGAAGTATTAGTGTGGTTTTATGTTTGCTCATGGTCAAACTTTAAAGCAGGTGTTCGTGGTTATTGCTGGATATGGAAGGTTCAGTATTAGTATGTGAAGAAGGGGTTCCAGTTAGCTGCTATCAACAGTTTCCAGTAGTTTGCACCTCACTATGTGGAGAAGCAAACACTGGGTTTGTAGTACTAATCATGATACTTTAGAGTAACGATAATGTCACAAAAATTACAGACAAAAGGAGGCAAATGAGAAGGATGTTTGCCAAGGTTTGGAGTCAAAAGTATTATTTATTCCACTATGGTGTGAAATACACCTGTTTTTAAAAATCACAGGATAATTGATAGCTGGTTTTTAAATGAACAGTTTTGACAGAATGATCTTGAAAATAGGACACCAAACATGACTTCACACATTAGCTTGGTCTTGTGTATCACAGCGACTGATGCAGATAGCCATGAAAAAGGACACTATCTCAGGTACTGATATAAATGTGTGTCAGTACCTATGTACTGGATGTGTGATTTTAATATTGCGGGACACTTTACATTTTAAATACCAATGTTAAAACCTGTGAAACCTTGAAGCCCACTCGTTTTTCCTGTGCTTCACTGTCATAGAATGGCATCTTATCAAACCCACACACCAGATTGAAACTCACCCTTTTCCATAATTTCCACATACTGTAAATGATAGTGAATGACATTTCACATCACAATACCCTTTTTAAAACTTAATTTTCTGAAACTTTCTGAAACTTGTGTGTGAAGATACGTGTGTAGAAAGGTACACAAAAAACATTAGAGAACTACAATTTTTTAAAGAAATGTAGCTTCACATTTTTTATTAAGAAAGCGGATAGAGTAGAACTTAGAACACAAGTTGCACTCTTATTTCATATTTTATGTATCCCAGCCCAAAAGTATAAAATATATAGGTGTAATTTAATCTTAGTACAAATTTTAAACACCAAAATAGTATCTAGTTATTCAAATACTCCCGCTAAGAAAAAAATCTTAGTTTCTATACTGTATATTAAGGCCATTTAGTGAGAAAAATCATCAAGAATGTTTCAGATAATGCATCCATCCCTGATCAGAAAGCTACTAATTTCTGGTAAGGCTCAGCTACCCTGGAACTGTCCAGAAGAATCTGGCACAAGGCAGCTCTGTGCCCAGACCAGTTCATTGCATGACAGGCACAGACACAATTTAAAGACATCAATTGTGTCTTTTCTCGTTTACAACCATTTTTTGTGCAATATATGCCAGGGACCCGTGCAATACATTTATATTTATATTTATTTTACATCTATATTTATATTCATATGTGCAATACAAATGTTCTGCGTACTGTTCTGTTCTAGTTTGTTCTTTGTGTGTTCTGGACTGTGAGTAACTCTTTTAGTGCACCCCTTACTGTACTGATTGTATTGTATTATTGTATCATTCATTACACTGTGGCTGTGTTGTCTGTTTTAAGCTGCTCTTGCACTGCAATTTCCCTCACGGGATCAATAAAGTATCTCTCTATCAATTATGTAACATGTCTTTGGTGTAGGGAAGGAAAATGGGAACATTCAGAAAAACCCATGTGAACACACGGGAAACACACAAATACACACAGAAGGCACCCCAGTCTAGAATCGAACCAATGACCCAAGACCTGTGACTCACCTGTGCTATCATCATGTCTCCATCCTTTTTCAAGTTGTACTCTAGAAAAAAAAATGCAGTACATCCAAAGCATCTTTTCAGCATTAATGAGTACAACAGTACTTTTTAATTTTAATAAGTTTAATTATTTCACTCTAATGTCTAAATTTCAGATGAGAACTATGCAACAAATTATGTATTGTTGTGTTTTTTATCTTATTTGCACCAGGTTGCATGCCATCAGGTGAATCTAAATAACTTTGTCCAATTTCTACTCTTCTTATATTAAATAATTTAAGAATGTTTTTTGGCCTGATTATACCTGTCTTCCAAACTACTCATTCCACAAATGCAATAAACTTGTAAAAGTATATATTTTAAAAACAACTAAAGGTAAGAATGCCCTTTTGGACAGTTAAAAAAGCATCCATTGATAACTAAGTGAGATTTAAATCTATTGTGTGTCTGATACTTTGATAACTTGGTTGCATATTCAGGTTGTAATAGGGAGTTATCTGGTACTGTGCAGTACTGTGCTTAAATTTTCTGGAATACAGTGAAGCTAAAGAGAATAAGAGGACAAAGTTGTGTTCAAATCCATTACTTGAGGTCCTATAGAAAACACAAAGAAAGCTCAGTGATTTGATGAGCCAGGAGAAATGCCAATAACTTAGTTAAGTATTAAATTGAATAAATCTGGTAAAGAGGAGTACAAGGGTTTAACCTTAATGGTCTACTGAAAATTATCTATAATGAAAATTACAGCTCCTCCTTTTAAAAACACTGCTTACAATCCTTTCTCGGCACAATTCTAGATTTTTTAAATCCCAGCGACAACGCTGAAGAAGAATATGACTGACAACCCTGAGGACAAATAGTTACAGTAAATTGGTCGTTTTTCAATCTTCTTATTAATTTACTGTTTTTATACTGTGTTTATGCATTTCTATAGACATGCTTTACCATGATTTGATTGTGCTTTACTATAATTTACTCTTTTTACTGTAGTGTCACCAACCAAAACCTTTAGTGGGGTACTTGTCATGATTGTAGTCCCTCCCCCTTAAGGGCGCTCCGGCTCTTCCACTTCTGAGTTAATTTTGTGCACCTGCTCCCTGTTCCAGCCTCCTTTTCAGCCCACCTTAAAAGCCAGATGCTCACTCTGTTCTGGGCTCTGCATTGGTTCCTGTGCCAGGCGAGTCCAGGACCTAGAGTGCCTGGTCCTGTTTCCCCCTGATCTTCCACCGGATCCTGCTCCGGTTTTTAATTCCGTTTGTCTTCGTCTTGGATGGACCACCCGGCTCTGGAAATTTGCCTTGTCTTGGATTTCCCTTTGGACTCCCTTTTGGACTATTTGCCTTGGACACACCTCTCAGAACAACTGCGCACCACGGACATGTCCCGTTTTCATTCCTGACCCCTGCATGCTTTTACCCCCGTGTTTTCCCCACTCTTCCCCGGATTGTGTTGTCTGCATAGGGTCCTGAAAGAACGCTTTCGCTCCACATCGTCTTGATTCTTCCATGTTCTTACAGCAGTTTTCATGATCTAAGCATTTTAATCTGCACCACATACAAGCATATAGGTCAGTATCTCAATGACCACAAGGCTGTTTTTTCTATCCAACTGCTATTCCTTAATAAGATAACTAGGCTAATGCTGTAGAGCCACCTGCAGTTACTGTGCAGCTTATGTTTCAAACTATGAACAACAAGCAGAACTGGGGCTGTGGACATACACCAAGACTCCTGATTAAAATTAGCATAATTCTCAAAATACTACCATGTGTTGGTTTGTTAAGCAGAAAACTTAATTTAACAGAGAACATGAGTAATCAATTATTAATGGTTCTAGTCATCTAGAGTATGTAAAAACAATCCTTCTAAGGGCTTCCTTTTAGACCTTCCACAAGACATACTGTATCTCTCTACATAAGCTGCCACTTGTACAGTTACATCTCCAGATCTCATTGAATAAATAACTGATTAAAAAGATCTCAACAGTATTAACCTTTGCAGATTAGCCGATTAATTGTTTAACTTTCATGTTAGAGGGAAGCCAACCATGTGAGATTCCTTCAATCTGCAGGATGTCAATTAAATATTTAATATAAGTATTTTAAGATTTTCTTCAAAGTTGACAGCCGTAGTGGCTTCCTGGAACAAGCTGAAATGGCCAAAACAAGGGGCATTCCCTTTTTAAATATGATTTTGTTTCCTTAAAGATCATGCCTTTTTACATCAGCGTTACAGGTCGCAGTGACATTTCTCAGGTGCACTTTAAAACAACATGTGCTGACAGATATGGAAGAAGTATCCCATTACACTTGTCAGAAACTAACAGAGGATACAGGAAGCAATGCTTGAAAAATGCCAGTATAAGTTAATGTTGTGTTCTAGTGTGGTTTACAAACCTGATGTGTCAAATGGACATTTCTGCTTAACAAGACTTCGAAACAAGTTTCGAAGACTAGAAATTTGCAAAAAAATCTCATCTTTAATGTAACATTAAATATAAATGAAAAAAACAGAATTTAATTCAAATTATATTTGTCAATACTGATGGGTCTCTTTTAGAAAACTTCAAATTAATAGGGTGTATACTTTAAAATGTGTGACTTCAGTACAGAATGATGATGCAACCTGAACTTTGAAAGGATGGAATGTTATATAAGTAGGCACACAATGTGATGTTTCACAATGTTTACCCATTTTACATGTGCTCACAAGTTATTACCATCCACAAACAAGTCATGTCACATTATGATTTTTAAGGATTCACAAATTATAAAACCAGACATGATGCGATTTAAGTGCATACATTTTTCCATTGAATCAGGTTTATTATATTTGGGATGAACTATGTGTATTTGACTAATGATACAGCTATTTGATTGTACTCACTTAAAAGACAATATTACTCAAATAAACATGAGATTGCAAAACACACAAAGAGCTTTCACTAATAGAGCTACACCCCTATTTTGTAACTAATAAGTGTGTTCATCTGTTTGTTTTTTTGTGGAGCTTGATGCTGGTCTGAGCCCATCAGAAGAGCTGTTTACAGAAGTAGTTTGTAGGCTTGGTTGTAATCTCCATTGCACTGAATCACTATATCTTCTAAGAAAGCCCGCTCACATGAAGGGAATGAAGTCTGAAGCTTCATCACTGTCCATTCAAGATCATAACCTGCAACAAAAACAAGCACAATAAGTCATTCTGATTTTGTTGTCCCTGGAAGTATGAATTGCTACTCATGGATTTCTTTGAGGGTTACATAGTATTTCTTTACAATGTATCAGAGATGAGCTGGAAATTATTGTACAAGAGAATCTCCAAAATCTTCAACAAATCACATCATGTGTTGTGCCCGTTTTGTATGTCATTTATTGAAGATAGACAAACATAGTCTCAAGGTAGCAACCATTGCTGAAGAAAAAGTGCTACTTTTGTTTAATATCTCTTTGATATAGAAAGCTTTGGTTTTGAATCTAGCCTAATCACCAGATAAAATAAAACAGACCTTTACCATTTTTAATATCTTATACATTTTTGTTATAATAATTATAGCAAAAATACCAGCAATATTTATTTCCTTTTTCCTGTTTGTGAATAATGTTTGCTTTGCCGCTCAGATATTTGTCAAAATTGTTGTTAATCAAGAAATCATTTTTTTTCCACAGAAATACCAAAAGTAGCTGTAGTCAGCCAAGGATACATATAGCCAAAGCACATGCTATAATGAAGTTATACAATAGATACATTGGGTATAGAAAGTCACCACCCATTTCAAAATGTGTACCCTTTGTTGTATGACACTCTGAAAATAAAAAATAGGTTTGTTCCATTTTTGTTTACACAAAGTAACCCACATTAGCCAAGTGAACATAATATTCTAAAACATTCGGAAAATTAATTAATATTACATCAGTAGAATACCTTATTTGGATAAGTGAACACCCCCCTTACAATTGCATTTGTAAACTTGCTCAGGTATAACCAATCACCTTACAGATCACACGACTAAATTGGCTCCCACCTGTGATCAATTGTGGTGATTTTGATGAGTTCAGAATAAAAGCAGCTGTTTCTAGAGAATTCCACTGCTTGGAAATGGATTTCAAAGCAAAGAATCCACTATGGGTAGAAAAGTGTTTTCAAAAGAGATCAAGTTAGAGATCAAGTTGTGGAAAGCACAAGTCAAGAGATGGGTATAAAAACATTTCAAAGGCTCTAAATATCCCATGGAGCACAGCCAAGACCATCATTACGAAGTGGAAGGTATGGCACCACCCAGACCTTGCCCAGATCAGGTCGTCCCTCTAAATTGGATGACCGAGCAAGAAGGAGACTGATCAGAGAGGCTTCCAAGGGGCCAATGGCAACCTTCCAAAGAACACCATTCCTAAAGTAAAGCACGGTGGTGGCAGCATCCTGTTGTGGGGGTGTTTCTCTTCAGCTGGGACTGGGGTACTTGTCAGGATAGAAGGGAAGATGGATGGTGCAAAATACAGGCAAATTCTTGAAGAAAACATGCAGTCCTCAGCCAGAAAGTTGAAAATGGGAAGATGGTTAACTTTTTAACATGACAGTGACCCAAAGGATGTTAATGGGATAGGAAGGTTGATGTAATTAAGTGGCAAAAAGCTTTGGAATGGCTTGAAGAGGGCAGTCCATCAACGGTCACCACGCAGTTTGACTGAGCTTGAACAATTCTGTAAGGAGGAACGGCCAAATATTCCTCCCTCTGGGTGTGCAAAGTTGGTAGAGATTTTTTGCTTTCTTTTTTCACTTGGATGTAGCAATGTACAATTTGCAAATTAAACTGGAAAAGGTTCGATTTTATTTGTCTTCTTTTTGGGTTTTAGGGCAATAAAAGGTGAACATTTTGAAAGGGGGTGGTAACTTTCTATACCCACTTTAGTACAGGGACAAATGAAATCCATTTCCAGTACATACTAACATACTGTACAGTACAAGGAACAAACTACATTTTCATATTGGCCCGTTAATACTATCCGGTACCTCTTGTCTGACTGAAACCTGTTTCAAATATCACTCCATGTGAAGTTTCCATTTAAACGAAATTCTAGCAGCCGAGATTCTTAAAACCATTCACCTTGCTCTCGGTTAAGCTGTCAAAGCAGTTCTATTATCCTGGTATCTGAATTTAGCATTGCACACACAGCATGGAGAATTCTTGAAAGTACTGTATGTGAAAATTACATCAGCCATTTTGACATGGCATGATAACTACGCATCCAAAATAAGTATCCTCTGAAGCCTACATAATTTTAAGTAACATAAACCCGTGGGTAAATTATGAACTCCACTGACGGAATACACAGTGGAAACAATTAGAGGGGCCTTTATATAGAACAGACTAAACAAATACAATTGCAAGAAGAATGGCATGAGCTTCCTACTTTAAAAATAACTTACCATCCTCTTCACTCTCCTGCAGGATAGGCTCCAAAGATTTGGGTACATCCTGTGCTCCATTGGTATGAAAATCTCTTTCTTCTTCTGTATTTACAGGAAAGGGCAGCTCCTTCCGACCTGATTGCGCATGGGCTTGAATTTGATCCAAAAATTTGGCATTGACCCTAAAATTAAGAGTAACAGACATTCGTGGGCTGGTCTTGATGAAACGTAATCAGCCACCTACTATCTGCTTTTGAAATATGGTATCATGCAAGGATCTGGAAACATTGTACAGAGAAGACAGGGGGAAGAAGAGTGTTGTTTATTCCTCTTGTGAATAATCCATAGGATTATTCATAATCTTGCATGTCTAAACAGAAGACAATTGTCTCTCGTTTTATAATGTCTTACAGGCACGAATGAGAAATCTGAGCGTGATAGCAAATCTATGAGGATTTGGCTGTCCAGACCCCATTCCGTATTTCCAGGATTGAGCCAGGGAGCTGTAGGGGTGTAGATGGGGTGGCAGGAGGGATATGAGAAACATACGCTACGGGAAGTCCCAGGTGCGAGACTCATATATGTAGGCGAGCGGAAGTATGTCAGATTAGGACCTAACCGAAGGGGTGGAGAATTACTTTGAACAGATAAGAAAACTGGTGTCAGTCAAGTGTGCTGACTGCTGGCTACTTGTGACAGTAATACATTAATTTCTCACTACCTTATTAATCAGCCTGTGGAGGCTGTTCAGTCTTTCAAATACCTAGGAACAGAATTTGTCAAACATTTCAACTTTGCAGAGAGTGCCAATTGCATTTTTAAGAAGTCAGTGTATATTTTTGATCAGGAAGCTGAAAGGGTTTGGAGTGAGTCAGAACGTTTTAGAGAATGTTTATAGAATGTTGGTAGAAAGCATCACTACTTCTGTTTTTTTGACGGTGTGGGATGAGAGCCTCGGTATTAAGAGTAAAGAGAAACTGGCCAAAATTGTTAATACTGCTAGTAAGATAACTGGTTGATCACAGAAACAGCTTAAAGAGTTGTTTTGTATTGCATTTCCAAGTAAGGTTCAACTTCCTGTTGATGACCCATCCACCCTCTTCTTTCCCATTTCTAACTTCTACCTTCAAGGACGCATTTTAGAATGCCTATGACTAAGAAAGATGAATACAATCAATATTTTTTTGGTATCGGTATATTAAACACAGTGACTGTTTCCTGTATGAAACTATTAGATTATGTATAATGGTAGTGTTATATACAGTAGGCAGGGCAAGATGTCTGTTTATGTATAGTTGCATGTCTAGGACTATTGTTTGTTTTAAATGTATATTTATTTCATGTTGAGTGATATTTATGTTGAGTTTATTGTAGTTCTGTATGGTGATGCCAAAGAAAAATGTTCTCCCTTTTGGACAAAAACAATTATATCTTATCTTAACCTTTATCCTGAATGTCAGTTATATAATCCATTTTGCATAATTTCAATTTACTGACTTGAAATAAAGACAATATGAGAAATTATTTCTCAGACTGAAGCCACTACGTGAACTGTATTATTTAATTGCTCTGTTAAAACAATGCAGAGGACTCGTGACTAAATGAAACATTACTGAAGAAAAAGTGCTGTAATTGTTATGTTTCTTCTGATTTCTCTAATGGAAATACATGTGAAATGTGTAATCTCTCTTTATGATACTATAAGAGACTTAAATAAGTTGCACTAAAATTAGCCCTACCTTTTGTGTTCCTTTTGGAGTTCTCTCTCCCTTTCTTCTTCTTTCCATTTTTGATTTTCTTCCAAGAGTTCACTCTGTGAGGAAAAGGACATGCTTGGTCTAATCACAGTCATGTTCAGGTCAGCAGGTGACAGCAGTTTCTATAAAGCAGCCTGCTCACTGAGGCAATGCTGTGCTTGGTTAACATGCTGTGTGCTATGTGTGGTCAACATGAGGAGGTGCTAGATAAAAAAAAAAACTGACTGGAATGAGGGGACAAATTGTATTCTCTGCTCTTAAACCTTAATTCTGAACTTGGAAGATTCAAGATGTCTTTGTTTGCCATATACAAGAAGTGTATTGGAATGCTTACTCATTCAGCTGTACCCAGTAACATTATTGAAAGAGAAAAGGAGAAAGAAAAAAAATAAAAGCCAGTCTTCACACTTTCGTGTGTTAAATACATCCAAGGAAAGACATGAAGTCATTTACTCTAAAGCATCACTGGAACTTATTTCCCCCCACCCCCTAAAATCTCAGCTCGAAAAATGAATAAGAAGTTTCAGTTCTTTTTTTTTGTTTCGTAATGCTGAGGCAAAAAGGGAGAAAAGCAAGAAGGTTGTAATTCAGTCACAAAATGAACATTTAGCTGCTAAAGGCCTGAAAGCCTGACCTCTCTTTCCCTGAGCCAGTAATCCATACCTTTCTCCTTTGCTCCTCTTTCTTCTGCCTCAGTTGCTCATTTTCTTCTGCTTTCTGGGCCTCTCTGTACATGTGGCCTCTGGCCTGTGAATAGAAGGGAGCAAACATTAAGTAAGGAAGTACCCCTCAGTGTAGCTGGTGGTCCTGCGCACACTGCGCTGAAAATATCTGGAAAGATCTTTAGCTCATGAAACTGCAGCATTTTTTTTTTACTTTGGTCAAACCTACTAATAGCTTCAGCATGGTGGACCAGAACCTGAAAAAAAAGATATTCTATCCATATCTCTGTGGATAAAAAGATCAACACAGAAACAAAACAGCTGTCCCTAAGACAACGGAAAAGTAAGAATGTTACTTAAACAGAGGATATGGAATAAATGAATTAGCTTGGAACCACCTTTAAAAACAATATTAGGCCACATAAAGGCCAAGTCTTTCAGTATAAAAGTTCATTTCCACACCTACAACATTTCATTTGGAGTACTTCCCTAATTTGTAGGAGTCCATCCAAACACTTAAGTCAATACCCAAAGAAGAAAGATCAGGTTAGCTTGTTCTCATATTAGTGATAAAGAATACTTTTTTTTATTGCTAATGCTTTAATGAAAGCTACCACATAGCAGTATACATAAAAAAAAATAATCCATAGTCCTGTCCCTCATGGTTCATTTATTTATGTTACAAGCCTCCATATTTTACAGGACTTTCCAATGCCTAAAACGATCATGTTTTTAAAAAGTGGCATGGAATGAAGCCACAGCTATTTCAGTAAATATGGAAACAAAATTCTGTAGCTTGGATTGATTGTAAATTTACCAGCTTTCATAACAACAAGAACTCAATTAAAACCTCCTATTGTAATTGAAGGCAATCCCACAGACAAACCTGCTGTGAAGTGATCAATAACACTAACTGGAATCCTCTTCACTAGTGTAAAACACAGGGACTGAACTGGAAAGTGAACAAACACCTCAGAGCTATTTACACTCCCTGCCATATTCAGGTTTATACAGTTGGAATAAGCTGATTTGTAAAAGTTTCACAACAATGTCGAAAGCCACACAAGAAAACATTGCACTGTTTACCACAGAAGCTGTGCATGCAAGTTTAACAATGCGGCCGGCTGCCACATGAGGTAGTTTTTACAATATTTATGCCTGGCCCCCGGCTTGTCAGGCTCCTCGGTCTGCCCACTGGAAGAAGACTTCAGCAGCCAAAACTGTGATTTTTGCATTATTACCAGTCTGTCACGGGTTTGCTAACTATTCCGTGTTTCTAAAGATGGCACAGGAGTTTGACAAAGAAGGATGTGTTTATTCCTGCTCTTGAATACTTCTCTAAATGTAGTTTTATTTCCAGTGTATGTGTGTTTGGGCTAATTTCAAAGGAAGGGCAAGCACTGAAGCAAGAAACTATGAGACACGATGGCAGCACAACGGTCATCCGGGTTTTTTGGGAAACGATTTTTGAGCCCACATGGAAGTGACCAGTTTCAAGCAGAAGCACACCTCCTGTTTTTAATGCAGGTTTTAGCTTTTAATGGATACATCTACGTTGTATTTAAATTCATTAACTGCTTGTTTTTGTTTTTATTCATTAACTTTGCTCGTCTTTCTTTTTATTCCCATGGTGTGGAACAAGTATGCTATTGTACTGTATACTGCTTTTCGAAAAACACTTATCATAAATATTCTATTATTATTATTATTATTATTATTATTATTATTCAGTGCTGTTAGGCAATAGGCAATATCTTTATTTCTCAGTTAGCTTGAAGTGAACTTTGGAAAGTCCCATGACCTAAATATGCCACAGCTCTCTCCAGATTGACTCAAGCAACCTCTCACTGGCAAGCAATAAAATAAAACCTTGTGTGTTTTGATTTTAAAAAAATCACCATAGACATAACACCCTCCACAGTGGAAATAATGAGCCTTATGGACTGAACCACTTATCAGTCAGAGTCAGAAACAGAACAGTTATATTGTACATTCTGTGCAAAATCTTAAAAGTAGAAATTGTTTGCTAAGAAAATATGTATCAAAGAAGTATCAATTGGTGTGAATTATTGTAGCTCCTTAGGCTGCAACCTCACGGCCACAACTATGCTGCTTTGGTTTGAAACTAGTCCTGTGAAATATGGAATGCAGTTTTTGGCAGTCTCTTTACCCAGGATGACGCTGGAAGAGAGCTGTTCACTGGAACTGGATCTACGGTGAAGTTTTCAAACCTTTGAAGAAACTGTTGTGTGCTCCTGCAGGAAATAAAAGCATTACAACATTGAAATTAATATTCTGTTTCGGATATTACACTGTCCACAGACAATACAGGATATTCCACAAACAGGATACTTGACTCTTCATGTGTAATGTCTTTGGATACACAAGCTGTTTTGTTTGGTCATCTTTGATTTGTGGCCATCCTTACTAGAGGCTTCCTGGACAATGTTTCATGCTTGTCAATACCCTGTGATCTCATTATCCAACTTATATTGACACATTTGTTTCCCAGTATCTCATAAATCTGTTTAATCATGTATGCAGTCTATTTAGTTTGTACTTTTTGCAATAGTAAAGTTGCCTTTTCTGTGATGATTCACAATCCTGCACCGTGGAAGCGTACCTCTGAAAGTAGAAATGTGCTTTAATGCTTTTTAATTGTGCATTGTGATCCTTCTGGAGGTTCAAAGTATTTTATTTTCATTTACAAATGCTTGTCCTGTGCCAGTTGTCACAAAAATGATTAATAAATTAATGAAATCTACTAAATGTTTAACATGAGCCACTTCAGTCGAGTCCCCAGCCCCCCAGAAAATTAAGATTCGTTTAAATTATAAACTCTAACCCTTGAGGTAACCAAAGAATGTAATTACTTCCTCACTGTTGAATATTCATGGCAGTAGCACTTCATTGTTTAGCAGTTGACTGCTTTAAAAAAATCTTGACAAACCATCTCTACTTGGAAGGAGCAAAACAGAAATGTTTGTGTAAATTGGCTATAAACCACCTCATCCAACCACAATAGACACTCATCTCTATAGTGAATTTGGCTACATAGTCACCCATCCCCAGAATTCCTGAACTGGACAGAGAACTTCTTCTAGAATAAACCAGGGACTCTGGGACAATGAACTAGGTCCACTGATGCTAAGGTATTGCTTCAAAGTGTTGCAAATTGTTGCATTATTACTATTACCTCCATTTACAGTACTGTGCTTTGCAAACGTATTCACCCTTTACAATGATGTCCCAGTATGTTGCATTGTTTCAAAGCCTGAATACTCAAACTGAACAGCTTAATGGGTGAAAGGAAATAAATGTCAACAAAAACTGCAAAGAAAAATAAAACATAAAATATGTTGATGGCAAACGTATTAACCTCCTTTCCTACGGGAAACCTAAACTAGTTTTGATGCACAAAGTTACTCTGCAATAGTGGTTTGCATGATTTCAGAATAAATGCGCCTGTCGAAGTAAGGTCCTTCAGCCAGGTAGTTAATTTCAAGCAAAGATTTGACTATAAAACAAAGGAGCTTTCAAAACAACTCAGGGGTAAAATTGCAGAAAGGAACAGATTATGCGAATGGGTTATAAAACATTTCAAAGCAAGTCAATCATTAAGAAGTGAAACGTATATCATACCACCCAGAAACTGAGTCAATCAGATGGTCCCTCCAAACTGGGCAAGAAGGAAAGTGGTTAGGGATGTCGCGGTGAGGCCATTTTTCACTTACTGTAAATCTGTTTCTTTGCCTCTATTTTCACGTCTTACTTCTCTTGTCCTACTTTCTCCACTCCTACTCTGTGATGGATTTACGCAGTCCTATACTCAATTCACTTTAAACAATGTTCTACTGAAGGAAAGAGAGAAATCCAAGCTGGTCTCTGATCTCAAAAACTATTGCTCACTCCTCTCCTCTTTCACAACTAATCTCAAATCTTCTAGACAAGTTTGCAATCTATCATTCAGTCCTTTTCCTCCAGTCCTTGTTGCTTCTTAGCCTCCTTTAACTTCTGTTCTCCTGTTTTTTTTCCCAGATGGCTTTGCTTCTACAGTATGTTCTGCTTTGCAATCTTTGCCACCACTCCCTTCCGCAGCTGGAGCTGAGCAGATCTTCCACAGCTGCACATTTTCATCACTCCTCAATCCTTTCGTGACCATTCCTAGTCTGTTTTCAGTCCTGCACACCCAACAAAAATTGCTCTGCTCTCTACTCACTGCATGCTCTTCTTAACTTTCCTCTGTCTGAATTATCTTTGAGCTATTGAAAGTGTTGACCACCCCAGCTTTGTGTTTTCATTTTCTGAATTTATAATTTCAGTGCTGTTTGGCATGGTTTTCTTGCTGTCTCTTTGACTGTTTCTGCTACTGTAGGTAGCAGAAACAGTCTAGTTCTCTCTTCACTTTACAGGTTTTTCCACAGGTCATCCAACAGATCAAACAACAGAACCTCCTTTCTTTCTTCTTTTTATACCTGTTTTCTGGGTTTTCTTATTTCTTTCCAAGGCTTCCTGTGTGTAATTTATGACAATAAACCTCAGATTAGTTTCTTATTCCAATGGCAATCAGCAAAGCCTAGGCTGAGATGCCTCAGACTTTTTTGTAGGTGTTGCAATCTGCTATACCTAGAGATAATTCTTTTTTTTTTCTATCTCTCCTAAAGCTACTGCAATATTGCATGTTGGATGTAATTATGGTTGTACAGGTTGGTTATTTTTATTGTCCCTCACCTTGATTGAGCCAAGCAACCAGGACTATATATGTTAAAATGATATTTGGACAGCTGGGGTATTTGATGAACTATACATCCCACAAACTTGAGGATACTGCATCTAACTAATTACCCCAAATGAGAGGAGACTGAGGTGCATTTCTCATATCTCTGGAAATATATGTTTCCTTTTTAAATTTGCTATTCAGAGTTTACCACTCATGGCAAACTCACTCAAGAACTCACTCCACTCATAAATATTAGCTTGTGTGTTTCATGTCTTGGCTGAAAGTTTTGTTGAATTGAGTCATGTCTTTTCAGTTATTTCTTATATCTTCACCACCAAAATTCTCCAGGGGCAATAGAAGAAGCCATCTGACTTTGCTCAGCATTCCCTGACTCGTGGGAGTGTTCAGCTTTTTTTGTCATGACAGACTGCTATTTAAGCTAAATATTTCACTAACCTCTATGAATTTAGATTTCCCTCCCCCTCTTTCTGTAACAATATCATTGAATGTCTTCAAGCAAAGGATGTAAATCCTTTAGAAAAAGCACAATGTATAGAATTACTTGTATCTACTTACAGCTGGTGGTCATACCGAAGTTGTTCTTTCCTCAGATTCTCTTCCTGCCGTCTCCTTTCTTCAAGTCTGATGGCCTAACATGCATTAAACATCAAGAGTCAAGATTTTTCCCATTTAAAATGGTCAATTTTCAGACTCTAGATGATGAGAAAAGCATCCCTCTGATGGGAATGTGGCATGGTTTTGATTAGACAGAAACACGCACTTTGGGACATCATTTGTGAATTGAATCCTTATCATTGTAAGATCGGGTCATGCTGGCCTGATCCGAGCTCCTCACCTTCTCCCGCTGCAGAACCTTCTTCTGCTGGATCTCCATTTCCTCCGCTTCTTTTCTCTTCCTCTTGTCGTCCTCTTGTTTAAGCTTCCCAGAATGCCATCGGGAACAAAGCACATTATGTTGTTATTATGTTACAGCTTGACTGCCTAACACACTCAGATAAAGATATATACTGAACTGTAGGGTCTCGATTATCTGCGAATTCAACATTTGCAAATTCGCTTTTAGTTGATTCAGTCTGGCTGATGGGTTCCTGTATGGAAGAAGAGCAGAGCGGGATGAAAGAGAGCCCAAGGCTGTTAATCACAGCTTTCAAATCAGCAGTGCAACAGACTAAGATGGTGAGATGAATCTAGCTAGTGAGTGATCCTCTCCTTGCCCCCTCCTCAAGTTCCCACTACCCACCATCCGCATCTAAACATGGTCTTGTTTTTGTATTGTAACGAACGCTTCAGGTTCTGTATCAGTGGCATGGGGAAGGACAAGCTGGAGATGACTTTATAGGCTCTCTGACAGTTTTATTACCCTTTTTATAACAGTGGGGTGTGCTAATCATGGAGGAAGAGAGAGCAAGTGCAGGCATCCCCTAAACGCAGAGGAGGGATTCATGTTGTTGATTTTAGCAGATTCATATAAATTGTGATTTCTTTCTTTCTTTTAGTTGATTTATGTTATTTAAACTGAAGCCAATGCACTAGTGCATTAATTAATATAAGGAAGGGTTGCTTACATATGTCTTTTAACCATACATACTATATAGTATATTATGTTATGGTATGGGGTGGACTTGGTTATTCAGTATGCAAATTTAGTTGTTTCTGACAATTCTCTGCACCAAACGCTTGTTAATTTTGAGACCCTCCTGCAATCGAAATGTAGTCATTTCTCAAAGTATTAGTTAAAGCAAATGATAGAGTACATGTTCAAGTACACAGTAAAACTCATATTGGATCGACCTTTGTTTTGTTAGTGCCCACATGTTTTAAAAACTTCCAGAGTAATCTATTTTATAATGAACATCATTAAGGTCTGCACATGGTATAAGTATATGCAGCACGATGTATGAATATGTACTGTAATTAGAGAGAAACGTTTCAGTGGGGAGCTGTGTCAGCATGTGTTGGCTGCAAAGGATAAAGTAAAGGTCAATTTCACAGTGAAAGGCAAAAATGTTATTAAGCCTTTCCAAAACTGTGTTTTCTTCTTTTCAGAAGAAGAAAAATAATTAACCTTTACTTGTTCCTACAATATATATCTATCTTCCCCTATACTTACGTGACAGTATAACATGTTTTTAATCCCAAACGTTCTGTTGCTGTATGTGTTAGGTGGTACACTGGTCTTCAACAGCCATTTTACAATAGAGATGAAAAACAATAGTCTTACTCATACATTTTAATTTGGATTCAAACCCTTATTACCTTTTTACGATATTTAGATTCCCTTAACTCCAAAAATTGCCTTTGTCTGGCTTCAGTCATCGATATTGCTCCACCTGCACAGATATTAATTTATTAAAACATTACATATTACATATATGTTGTATATAATTGTTTTAATTTTTTTCTGCATAAGCGTAAGGAAAGATTTAAAACAGATAAATCTTTATAACAATATTTAAATAGGATAAAAGTAATAATAATAAAAAAGTTAGAATAAAAAGTAAAGAAATTCAAAAGAAATCAGCATATTGTAAAACTATTCCACACGACATTCCAAGCAAGTAAAAACACTTCATACATTACATTTAGCACATATCCAAAGTGACGTTAACCCAATTTAATCCAGCGTAACCAAAAGGTCATGCATATCTACCTTTATTATAATGTAAGAAATAGGAATTATATTGAGAAAAATTCTGATTTTTTAATAATTGCTGACAACGGTTGTCGTTACTTCAGGTTAAAACAAATATAAGTATATTTGACAATTTCTTCTCTTTATCATGCTACAGTATAATGGGGGCAGCAAAGCCTCTGGACTCATGTCTGACCGGTCATGGGTGTGAGCTGCAGCTGCACACACTGCTGGTGTACCTTTTGTGAGGTATTTTACCCCAGTTGGTCACCCAGTTCTACCAGTGTGGACCAGAACTGTTGGGTGGGGGTAGTCATCCCTGTGATGGACAGCTGTCCCACCCAGGGGAGGGGAGTCCTGTGCTCAGAAACCAGGATGAGCTCTTATGACCCTGTTAGTTTACCTTCGTTATCTACCTGCACCTCAGTCTTGTTTTGATCATACCTAGCTGTGCTGGAGGTAGGCTGAGAGGACCAGGCCTGTGTCCTTCCTTCCAGCGTTTCAGATCTTCCTCTTCCTTCTGTGCCACTGTAACCAGAATTTGCATGTTATCTGTAATCTAAACCACAGCGTTAATGTTATTCACCTCTGTGTCTACATGGATCAGGGCTGGACTGTGCAGCACTGCACACAAGGCCTGACTGGTGACATGATCAGTGTGAATAAGCTGAAAAAGTACCTTAATCTGGGATATTTTATGTGGTATTGGTGTCATAATAATGCAAAAGAGTCCCTAAAAGGTTTAGGCTGAGCAAACCCCTAAACTGACAGTGTTGACCTTAAGCAAGTTACTTTGATGTTGGCCTAATCTATGTAGAGCAGATTAAGTCAAAACCTTGACTGAACCAATAAAATGTGTATTACTGGCACAGAACTTGACACTGGGTTTGTATTTTTTTTAACAAAGAGAATATATAACAAAAGAAAAACCTGTCAACAGGTACTACATTTGAACATTTCACAACTAGCAAGTGCATCAAGGTTGAATGTATACTGAACCTTTTGTAGGTACCCCATATAAAAAGAAATTGTGAAGTGAAACATTTACACCAAGAGGAATTTGTTTAAAAAAGTGAGATGTTGCACTGTTATCCGATCAAATGGAACATGCATGAAGAAAAGAATAAAATGTTTTGTGGCTTTTTGTACCATGAAGCCAGTTCCATCACAGTGATGCTAAATTATGTTATATTAGCAGCACCTGGGTCTCTAATTCTTAAAGCATTACTTATTCAGTGGCAACAGGGAACCAGGGCACATGCACTTATTATTAACTTTTCAACCTTTGGTGTTTGTCATTATTTAATGCCAAGTAACTGCAATGTTACACCACTAAGATCTCAATGTCTTGTAACAAACATTTTTTCTGTTTTTGGTTAATTTTGCTGGTAACAATTAAAAAAGAACCATCTGGCAAAGGGAGCACTTTGACTACACAGAAAAAATAATTACAGTCTTGAAATGACTTACTCCTCTGCATTTCCCTCCTCCTTGATTCATTGGGTGGTATCATGGAATAGCCTCCCATGCTAAAACAAATGAGAAAGTATATTGATATACAGTATGTGTCTCACGTCTTGAGGGCTTATGCCAGCATTACATTATAATTTATAATGCTTGTGGGGTTTTTATTGTGAAAGGCCATAATAATAATCACTAAATCATGTGTAGAAGGCATAATAATTTTCAGAGGACAACAAAGAGTTTTGCTAAGCTTATGAAACTGAAAACACATTTACTTCAGCAAGCCAAGAAAACACCCTGTGAATATAATTAGGGAAGGTTTAAGACCATCGCTGTATGCTATTAAATACAGTTAATTGTGAATATGATGTAGTCATTATTGGCCATGATAATATTTTTTTTTATTTCATCTAATTTTTGAGGTGTTTATACTGAAGAAACCTGGCACTAGCTACAGTTAACTCTTACTTTAATATTACTAGTCCAGTTAACTTACTTTTGCATCTGTTTATACAGGCCAGTGTTTATCTGAAGCAAGTTCCTATAAGAGTGATGACCCACCTGGGATTTTAACACCCAGTCTTCCAACTACATGAGCCCTAACCCCAAAACTGCACACTGCTGCCTTCAAATATTTGATTTTCGATATTTTATATTTGAATATGCTTGTTTTCATACAAATGCGTCCCTTGCTTTAAAAAAATGTTTTTTCAGAGATTAGTATGATGTGACAACAAAAACAATGTGGATAGCTTTGGTTTAGAACAATTGGATATATTTTTCCTTTATAAGTCCAGCATGTGAACAAGTGTCAACACTTTCCATTAAGGAGTGCTTGTGGAACTAGCTAGTGCTAGCTGGCCTATTGCTATACCACCAGCACTCCTAAACTACTAAGGCCTTTTACAGCAGCCTTGAGCTTTGCTTTTGGGATGTGGTTAGAGTAGCAGTAGACTTTGAAATTAAAGCAGCCAAATTGCAGTCTGAAGGCTGTTTTGAGGTATAGCGTTTGGGTATGGGGTGGGTTTACAGTCGGCTTTCATTGGTGTAATTGGCCTTATTCTTTGTCTAAATTAAATAGTTAGGATCAAGTGGGACACACTGTACAGTACAGTTAAGAAAATATAAACATTAAAAAATGTTAGTAGCTCCCCTGCTGTCAGGAAGCGCCTCCTATTTTTAGCCATTAAAAGACTCTTCTAATTTATGCCTGCTTGCCATGGGTTGTTGAAATGAAGTACTTCAGTAGGATGCAATTGTCAATACCCTGAGGACATGTGAGAAGTCTACTTCCAATCTCATCTGTTCCAAACCGAACCTTACTAAAGTCCTTAATCTGTCTGGGTGGAACGTTCCTGTAAAGCCAAGAACTAGGACGGTTGTATTCCTTAGTTTGAACAGATACCAGAGTAAAAACTGCACAGAATTCTAAATGAAGCCTTAAAATATAATATAATATTTAAACATTTTTAAAAAGTGTATAGCTTAATATCTGGTTGGTGTCCTTTAACCTTGAACAGAGGAATTATTCTGGTTACTATTTATTTCTTTTGACTACTTTCCAGGGCTGCTACTGTAGATTCCTTGTTCTGCTTTGGGAGCCGTTAGGCTGGGATTTTTGATTAAGCATTTACAGATACTGATCGTAAATTGTAAATCATGTGATTGTGAAGCGTATATTTTGGTTACGTATGGATTAAATTTGGTTTAAGGATTTGCAGATTTGGATTAAACCCTGTTAGCTCATTATCTTTCCATACAAAACAAAAACAGGTTAACACAAATAACTGACACCCGAAGAAGTCTCCACGGCCGAAAACTTGTTTTTCTTCTCTTTTCAACATGGAAGAAACCTTTACTTGTTCTTTTACAGTTAGATATCAATTTCGACTTGCTTAAATTTAGTAAAATAAAAAAAGAATGTACCGCTTTGATTTAGATACGTACAGTACACACCTAACCTTTTGTTTATGTCCGGCATCATATTTTGCGCGGATGAAAGCTAAATGTAAAGGCGGGTTGTTTTGGTAAACTACTGCACAATGTCTTTTGCACCTGAAATTAAATGACTCTTGAATAGATTTTATGCTTGCGCTTGCGTGTTGTATTGGGCAACACTAAGGCAATACAAGATCATGGATGTGACGCTCTAGCTAAGGCAATACAAGATCATGGATGTGACGCTCTAGCTAAGGCAATACAAGATCATGGATGTGACGCTCTAGCTAGGCTGACACTGATGCGAATATGATCCTCCTCTTCCTGACGCAACGTTTTTTTTATTTTGCCACAAAGCCCTCCTCCTCTAGCAGAAACGAAACTGGAACTCTAGCCATTAGAGAATAATTGAAAGCTATTCTCTAACCAAGTTATAAAGAGACAAAAAAAAAGAAAAAATAACAACAACTTTCATAATAATACTTACTGTAACATTAATTCTGGACATTTTTACACTGAAATGTATTAAGCATTTTTTTAGCGATACAGTAGCTGGGATATTTTTAAATTAAGATATTAAAGGATCGAGTTAAACTTGTTTTATCAACAATATAACGTAACATACTGTATGAAATATTAAAACACGCATTCTCTTAATATGACTTTTAAGATTTTACTTACTATTGTGGGTTCCGTTCATTTCTTGTAGTTGTATTGTTTTCCTCTCCAGCCTGATTATTTACGTTCTCCCCGTGCGCAAATTCATCGTTGTTATTTACTGCTAATTCCGTATCACCTGTTCTGGAATTTCGGCTCTTATTGCTAAAGTGTCCTGCGTCGTTTCTTGACCGTGTCCCTTCGTAGCGCTCCATGTTTAGAGGTGCAGGTGTTTTAAAGCGCTGGAACACAACTGGAGTTTCGGTATCATGTGATGACATCCAAGGCATAAGGAATGCCCCTCTCTTGTGCCAAGTGACAGACAGACCAAGACGTCTTCTCTAGTTACTAATACGACATGCACCCAACTGATTATATAAAACACACACATAAACACGCAGACACACAGATAATATGAATGGAGAAAAAAATTATGGAGTATATTTCTTTATTTGGACCTAAGAGACATAACGAGCATATTGTTTTAATAGCTTTATACTGTATATTGAATTTGTATTGCTGGAATAGTAGTAATATTGGGATGTAAAAATAAAGATTTATAATATTTGTAGCTGACCCCAAGAAAATAAATGCTATGTTAATTCATTGTTTAACTGAATTTCTGATAAAATAAGGAATACGTTTTATTAAAATAGTATGTGTTCTAAATGATTATAAGAAGGTCTTGAAATTTCTATTGCTATCAGAGCTTTTTTCTGTATGTAAATTACATATCGTATACCAACTATAAACATAAATGTAACTTCAGCAAATTCATAAATCAAGAGTTGTTTGTAACTTTGCAACAGATCGTTTCTCCAGCGCAAACAAACCGGCAGCACGGTCAGACACTTTGTGTTTAAACCTATTTAATTAGCTCCCTGTTGATTTCTCGTTCTGTGACCTCCTATGTTTTGTTTGTATGCCTTTCGAATGCCTTTTTTTCTTGTTTTTTATTGAAAAAAAAAAAGACTTTGCAAGCAGATTCCGTTATTAGATTGTTATTCCTGAGCCAAAGTCATCTCATCACAATACGAGACAAAGGACAGGCCATCCTATAAACAAGGTTTAGCATGACCATCAAATTGTCACGTCATATTGCCAAGCCACACATCCTTGATAAAGCCACATTCGTGTGTTCTCATTTCTCGTGGTTTCCAAGTGTTTCCACGCTTTTAGAAGCGTTACCCTTATTTGCTCCCTTCATGTGGTGAGTATAAAGCAGCGAGTGTGCTTGAATCACAGTTTTCCACTGGATGCGCGATGTCATCAAAGCTGAGGAGCACACATCTCTGAACTGTAAAACGGACATGCTGATGTGTCTAACTCACCTATCTGGAGTTCATCTCCATCTTACAATTCATCTTTTATTAAATTAAAAAACGCTTACAGTTTTCCTTGTACGTATTTCAACAGATTTCTATTTTAAAAAATCAAAATGTGGTTGATGTGCTTCTTTGATGACTAAGTCCATAAACTAATATTGGAAACGTTTTCTGTTATCCTCCACTAAATACAAAACAATGGACACTTATAATTTAGGTTATGTTAACAACTACCTTTCATTATTTTAACCACTGTTCCCTTTGCTCATTATCCCAATGTTTTTTTTTAAAGTTAAAAGTATTTGAGTGGGGAAAAATAGAGCAACTGATGAATGTAAAAAAAAAAATAGCTTTAAAACCAGCAATTAAAATGCTTTCGCTGCCGACCCAGCACTATTTTAATTTGTTTCCCCTTCACTGTTATGAAAGAGTTTCCTGACAACACCTGCGATCCACATTAAATCTACTGTGCTCTGCCAACAAAATCCATTAACACAAAGGCAAAACAAAAAAAGCAACTACATTTGTTTCAAGTTAAATATATATACAACATACCATTGTATATATATTTATTACTATAAAAATAGTTATGGAAACAAAGGGAAATGTTGGCGTAATGTAATATACTGTATGTATTACAGATGAAAAGGTTTTGTGTAACTAATGTTGAAGTGTTACCAAATTCTGCATAATATTGACATTCTACTTTGCCTTCGGTTGCCAGGATACCCATCAGAAAGAGATACAAGGCCTCAAGGCCTGGAGAACTATAGGCCATGGGTCCACAGCCTGGCCCTGGAGACTAGCATGTCTGCATGTTCTCCAGGTTTCTATAACTAGTACCTGAAAAGCTGGAGAACCTGATAAACTGTACTAATTAAGCCAATAAACCCACCTGGATTGAAAACCTGATACACTGGCCTCTCGGGACTAAGATTTGGGACCACTGAGATAGACAGTTACACCATTGTATAGTTTTGGGGAACAGTATTGGCTCTGGAAGGAAATTGCACATGAAAAGAGCTTATAAATTGAGGTTTTAGCTAATGATGACTACTCCTATGGATAGTTTGCAGCCCAGATATCTGTTTCACTCAGTCCTATCACTACAATTATGGGAGGCTTCATGAAACTAATACTATTGACAGCAGCACAGGACAAGGAACAAAATTCCAAAACAAAGATAATGAATGTCAAATTCCTCAGCATAAATTGTGATAGTGTCACAGATGGTGACCCCTAAATGCAGGAATTGCTTTTAAACGTTTAGCTTTTGTAGCTGACTTTCCATGTAGTATAAGTACTGTTGGTAGCTGCATCAGCATGCGTAGGCTGCAAAGGAACAAGTAAAGGTTTATTCCATGAAAATAGAAGAAAAGAAATGCAGCATTTTGGCTGTGGAGCCTTCTTTGGGTGTATTGGGTGCCTCACCTGAAGAAGGCTCCACAGCTGAAATGTTGCATTTCTCTTTTTCTATTTTCAGCATGGACTAAACCTTTAGTTGTTCCTTTGCAGCCTACGCATGCTGACGCAGCTACCAACAGTACTTATACACCCACAGACCAGAGACAACAGTATCTTGCATAATTTCCCTTTTTATTACAGTCCACTGTATCGGTCTACCCACCACACAGGACCCTTGACACAATAATTTCCGTAACTGACTACCTGACCGACATAGAATATACAGTAAAACAACCTATCCACCAGAGGCACTTACTTGCAGAGCATACTGCACAAGAACCTCATGGGCCCCAGTTACCTCAACCAATGCCCCAAAGGAAGAGTCCAGCAGCATCATTCTCCTGAAACAGCCCCAGTCGGTGAAAAATGTGCCTCCTTCCGCCACAGCGAAGAACCTTGTGTCAAACTTGGTAATTCAGTGAATGAGCGTCGAGTGAGACAACACCATTTGTGCATTTTGTCCTTGTCTTTCTGCTATATCAGCCAGTAAGCCTGTTGGGCAAGCAGATGCGATGCCTCTCATTACTGTCATGATACCCCAGACTGCAAATTCACACCTGCTCCAGACAAACTGCAAAAAAAAAAAGAAAAAAAGAAAAGCTCATAAGAAAGCAAAATACCCACAGGGGAAAAAACCTCCAAATTATTTCCATAATTTGTCAGAGCATAGCAAACCTTAAGAAAGTTGTCAGTATGTCTGTTTTGACTTATTATTACCAGGGAAACAGGATCCTACCAATTTGTTTTTGAGGAACTGATTTACAGAAGACAGATATACAGTATATGCATGCTAAATAGGTTTTGTTGTTGTTTCTGTAGCACTTTAATATGAATAAAGCCAGTAACTGAATCTCTAATCCATAACTTGCAACCTTTTATAACAAATACTTAGACAGTCTTTTTATATTGAGATCTGCAATCATACTATGTCCAGCATTTCAGCTAATAAATCTCTTGAGGTTGCACCCTTGGTATTGTGGCTTATGGTAACTTTATGCAATGAATTAGACATGCATAGCTTTTGTGTACATTCTGTATGTTTGATAATAAAAATGAATGAATAATTTAATTGTGATTTTAAAGATTCGTTATACACAAAAACAATGATGATACTCAGGGGTAATCAATGAGTATACTCAGGGGGCTTGTAAAAGGGGGCATTTGTATCTGATTGTAGATCTCAATATTACACACCACGTGAAGCAAACATCCGACTGGGAAAAAAAGCTAAACCATGAAAGAACTTTGGGAAAATTCTGTAGAAGTACCTGTACCTACAACAAATACAGAAAACCAACCTTTTTATTAGTCATTTCCTTAAGTTGAAAAACGCGTTTTAGTATTTCACTTTCGACAAACCATGTAGTATGTCCCATCAACCGTTCCATATAACGGCTAAATGCCCTTGAGTTCGGGAGTGCGGAAAGCAAAGAAATGGCGAGTACCAACAGTGTATTAGGCATGGAAGGCGAACTCAAATACGCTGAATACTCTCAGAAGTTAAACAACAGGAGTGATGCAGAAATTGACAGAAAAATAGTAAGTCACACCACCAATTTTGTTACGCTACGAAGTAAAATAAGTCAGTATAAACAGATAACCTAAGTCTGCTTCTAATGTTACCCACACTTCAATAGCTTCTTGTTTGGATTTACACGAAGTGACGAGTTAACATCTATTATATAATCATAGTAGTATTTTTCTTCTTGTTTTCAATATAAGTTGTAGATGTTTCATAAACGGTATAGTGTGTTCAATATTTTTCTTCGTTACGTAAGTATAAATATTCCAAATATCCTGATGAATTATGATAAAAAGAAAATATTGATCAGTTTGCATTGACCTCAGTGTAAAATCCGGGGTTCGGTTTAGAGCTGTGGGCATTCATGTGAAGGATGATTATAAAATAATTATAAAAATTATAAAACTGCCCGATTATAAAACTTTATTGATGGGGGAAAAAAAAAAAACAGGCCCAAAAGAAGAAGAAGAAAAAATAATAACTCTGACACAGGGCGAGCCTTCGTTTTCACCTCAACCGTCCAAACCACACTTTTCCCTGGTCAAAGATTAAACAAGACTTCCCTCACGCTAAACGAATTACCACATATAAAATACTGAATATGTTAACCCAAATATGTCTCACATCAGTAATACTACCGTATACAGTACAGTATGGTTAGTGGCAATAAGCTACAGCCAACTCTTAAGAGCATGAGTTGTACTGGGCTGTTACATATACAGTACACCTAATGCACTGTGTAAAATGCATGTTTATTTCTGTTCGAGGTACTTCACCAGGTACCCAACACCAGGTATTGCACCTTAGTACTTAATGTAAACTTACGAGGCTAATAAATGTACCAGCAGTAGATTTTGTGAAGAGTGAAATATTGTCTTGGTCACTGCGAAAGTCTCTTTTACGTTAGTTTTATCGCGTCTGAATTGAGGTCCTTCAAAACAACACCTACTGTACTCGATGGTACTGTATGCGTATCCGTTGAATGAAACTATTTTCCTTTCTCTTTTATTATATTGTAGGTAACATAAAAAAACTTACTACTACGTTTCATACTAGTTTGATTTTTTTAAACAAGTGTTTAATCACTACTCATCGTCCATATGTCATTTTCATTAATTGCTCATCCATGACTTGCAATGATACAGGTAAATGAAGTGGTTTATTCTTTAAGCACTAAATCACCTTGTTAATGGGAAGGTAAACTGGGCATAGTTGAGGAGGTGATTTAACCAGTTGAAGTATGATCCAAGTGAAAATCAAGAAGACAAAATGCAGAAAATAACTAATGTGCCTTATCAAGTGAACAGTGTCTTCATGACCTGGATATGTTGGAGACTGGACTTAGCAGCCATATCACCCTGCAACTCCCAACTGGTCAGTACCAGGATGGGAGACTAAGGTTGCTGCTAGAAGAGGTGTTAGTGGGGCCAGCAGGGGGCGCTCACCCTGCGGTCCATGTGGGTCCTAATGCCCCAGTATAGTCATGTGGACACTATACTGTAAACAGGCGCCGTCCTTTGGATGAGACGTAAAACCGAGGTCCTGACTCTCTGTGGTCATTAAAAATCCCAGGGTGTTTCTCGAAAAGAGTAGGGGTGTTACCCAGGCGTCCTGGCCAAATTTCCCATTAGTCCTTACCAATTATGTCCTCCTAATAATCCCCATCTACGAATTGGCTTCATTACTCTGCTCTCCTCCCCACTAATAGCTGATGTGTGGTGAGCACCACCAATTGGCACATTGGTGGTGGTGGAGGGGAATCCCCATTACCTGTAAAACGCTTTGAGTGGAGTGTCCAGAAAAGTGCTATATAAGTGTAAGCAATTATTAATTATTATTAATTATTAGTCCACCTTCAGTAACCTCTAACATGTTATCAAAGATGTGGGGAGGAGTGACTAGTCACCACAGAACTTACCATGTAGGGATTGAATCTGGCCAGGCTGCATGACACGGTGCTCACTTGCTGTCCTCCCTGTGTGACAGCGCTCGTTCTTGTCCCACTCCCTTGAGGCTCTTGCCAGATGGCAATGTGGCAGTTATGCCACGGATGCTCAACTTGTCAGACTTCAGCCCCACTGAGCATTTTTAAGGTGAGCTTGGTTGATTTTCTAGTGCTCAGAGACCTGTGAACAGGCATGTGCTTGTTTAAGGCTTTGCGAGGGATGGGACAGAACCCCACAAGAAAGCATCTGCGAGCACACAGGTGTACAGCTTGTATTGCTTGCAGCCTTGGTCACACGCACCAGGAGCCAGTGACTTTCACAGCCAGTGACTTTCTTATTGATCAACCTTATTGAGTTTAATCAGCAAAATGAATTTACCTGTGTTATATCTGTTCAATAAAATGTTGGTGTTAGTGCCTGCTGCAATAAAAGATTTTAACTCTTTCCTGATTATAATTCCGTGACTGTTGCAGTTATAAGTGATGTTTCTTTAATATCAGTGTAATGGAGACACTCTTAAATGTTAAATCAGTTACTGAAACTGATGTAAAATAATTGCTATTTTGTAAAAATAAATATTTACATCGGGTAAAATCTAAGTATTGTATGAGTGTACGAGTTGTTAAATATTTGTGAACATTAGAGAAAGTGACCTCAAAGTTTCTCATTTCTCTGAGTAGCTTTAGAAAACAATACTAGAAAGGCCTGTAGGCCTCTGCTTCCCAACACTGAATTGAAGGCTCTGGTGTGTCTAAATGTTTTTATTTACCTTGTCCTCTTAAATCACCAGTCCTCCACGATTAGACTTGTTTAGGTGCATCTGATTTGGAAACTCAGTTCTAACACTCAAAATTACCCTGTTTCAATCGGTTGATTCCCAGCAACTTACTGATACTGATTGATACTGATACAACTCACCATAAATGTAACCAAATTGCCCTAATGATGAACATGCCTGTAGGATTAACTGTGTATCAAAAACTCACACAACGAGTGTACTGTTTCCTTTTCCACAGGTCCTGCTAGTTACACACCTGTATGAAAGGGGTACAGCATTGATACCAATTCCAAATCCCAAACTACTTTTAAAGAGCTGAAAATAAATAATATGCTTTGAGAAGATCTCATTTGGCAGGCCAGAACAAAAAAAAACAGAAGAAGCAGCAGTTGCTGAGGATCAGGATAAGGAACCACTGCTGTAGGTGAACACTGCGGGAACCCAACACTCGAAACCTGAAGCCTGATTGGTCTGTGTTCATTTTCCACAGGGCGCGACGTTAATTACTGTAGGACTTGGTGTGGCAGCAGCAGCCTTTGCAGGTAGGGTGTACAGTAAAATGTATAAATTATAAATATAACATTGTTCCTATATGCTGATAAGATCACAGACTATGCATTTAATATGATATATATGGATGTGAATTTATTGACACATACATTGTACATTGTACACGTACATTATTGACCTTTTACTTTAAATTCACCCCCCTCCGCCCCCGTCACCCCAACCCTCTAGTTAAAGTGACATATGTACTTCAAACAAGAACTGTTACCAGTATACAGCTGTTAAATAGAAATGCTTTTAAGGTAACCAAGGGCATTGTTTGTACTGTATTGGTTGTCTCTAAACAGATTCTGTACCAACTGTCTTAAAGGAAAGCCTTAGGTTTGGATATGGTCTTTTCATCTTCTTATTTTTGAACACACAAGCCTGTTTGCATGAGTAAAGACAAGGGTTTCAAGAGCTTTGTGGTCCTAAACTGGCTGTATGATGTTGTGCATAATTCTCAGAGGAGCAATAAAAGGCATATGTACTCCACTGAGTGACTTTGGCTTGCAGAGCTTAATGCCACTTCATTCTGAACAAGGGTATTACAGAATAGATGGCAAAAAGACAGCACAGTGCACACACAGAATGCACAATAGAGCAACAGCATTAATGTGCTGATGTAGCAGTTATCAAATATAATGGCATATCAAGGCTTTTGAAAAAGCAAATAATAAAAATGATTGACAAATGTATAACTTGGAGTAGTCAAAAAAGACACTCAAGTGTCAGTATAGTTTGGAATAACCATTGTTTCGTTTTGCTTTTATCCATTTTTTAGAAACTTGCAACCAAAAAGATTTTTGGATTTGGGGTATTTTTGTGTTGTTTCAAGCCTGTGCCGTCCGTGTATGTGTGTGTCCGTGCTTGGATGTCAATGAAGTTTAGCCAGGATGTAACTGTATGTGCGGTTAAATTGAGGAAGCAGGAAAATTCCATTCTAAATACAGAGAACATGTTTTTTTTGCCAGAATGCCTAATAGTGTGTGGTCCATGGGAAGGAAAGACTTGGATTGTGCAGAATGAGTTGAACTCCTTGAAAGAAAGGCAAAACACTACAGCTTGGGAACTGATCATCTAGTGGTGGTTCTTTCATTAGGCCAACAGTCTGAGAAGATTTATGTTTTCTTAAGTAGAGCTAAAAAACTGCTATTTACCATGTAACCAGCATACAAGCTGTGTTTCACAAATTATTTCCTTTTTTAGCATTGTGTAATTATTATTTTCATTCTTTCTTTTGCTCTTGATGGTTTGTGGACCGATATAAAGTATTATTTTTACTGAATTTAGATTTAATGAAACACAAGTGGTGGTGGTGGGGTGATTGGGGCTCTGAGGATGACAGACAAACCAGAAGATCAAGTCAATAGTGAAAAAAACTCTCGTACTTGGCAAATATTAAACAGGATGAATTAAAGTGGCCTGATTTGGAGTCATCTTTCAAGTAGCTATATTCAATGCAACCTTTTTTATGTTTAAGGAAACACTATGTCTGTTTGTATCTTGATAATTATGTCTGCCCAAGACCACATTTTAAGGATTGCTATTGTACATAACTCTATATCAATTGTTTTTAATCTTGCTTTCTTTAGGACGGTACACATTTCACCTGTGGAAACCTTTAGGACAAGTGATCACAGAAACAGCAAAGAAAATGCCTGCATCTGTAAGTTATGTCCAAATTATACTGTACTAATGTATGTGATTCACAAAACAATTCTATTTCTGATTCTTTGAATTATTACATATTGAACACCAAAACACAATAAAGTATATAAACGGCACAAAATATTTAAATTTATAAGGATGTTGAGTGTTTCAAGTTAATTTGTAAAGTTTTATGATGCAGTTTTTTAGCCTTTTAAAAACCACCAACCTCTCGCACAAAATAAAAGATTTTAAATCTTGATGTTTCAAATCTTGTTTTACTGCGGAACAGAGGTAGATATATGTTTCTGGCTTTACAAGCTGGTTAGTGAGGACAAGAAACATCCTTGCTTTTACTCACATCAGTGCTATTACAGTACTAGCTTTGATCAGAGATGTAACTCATCACGCACTCAGTCCCTCAGACCACTGCACATATTTCAAAGTCTACAGTCTGCCACTCTCTGAAAGTAAATGTTATATCCTTAAGGTAATCGAGTTCATGCAGTGACGTATTAAACCTGCTACATACTTTTTAAAAAGTCTGGGGAGCTGTGGGTGTTATAAAAGTAGCCTTCAGCTAGCTCTTTCTGCAGGAGTTCAGTCATTTACGGTCAACGGAAGAAGACGAGTGAGAAGATTCATTACAGCTACACCAGAGGTTCAGTGAGAATTTTGAATTTTAGATTTTACTCAAGTACCACTCCATATTGAAGGTGACCATTCACAATAGCTCAGTCCTTCCTTGTTTTTAAAGCCATCAAGCATCTGTGTTGGACAGAATAGAGTAACTCTGCAAGCAGTGGAATATGGTAGAAAGGCTGGCGTTGACATTTACATCAAGGAGAAGTTCTTATGAGTGATTCGCATCAGATTACTACTGAAAGATAAATGTAAATTCTGTTTTAAAGGCTATTGTTTGAGGCTTGAAATGATAGATCATTTATGTTTTAAAAACCATTTCCACTCCCAAAATACACAGATTCTTGTAGTATGCAGTATATAATGGATATAGCTCAAGATTTTGACAATTTAATTTAAATCCAGGTTGAATATAGAACATAAGTACATTTCTAAATCAGAGAAAGCCATTTGGCCCATCGAGCCTGTCTGGTATTTAATAGCTAATTGCTCTTAAGGACCTAATTCAGCTGTTTCTTGATAGAAGCCAGGGTATGAGCTTCAGCTTCAACAGCATAGCAGTGTAGCTGTGTAGCTTGTTTTGTACTCCCACAACATTTTGTGCAAAGGTGTGCCTCTTATATTCAGATTAAAATGCACTTCCACATAGTTTCCACTTGTGCCATCTGGTTCGTGGTTCCCTTGTTGATTTTAATGAGTCCACTGCATTGGCAGTCCCTATAATTACAGTTGCAGAACCAGGTATACTGCTTTACTGCTTTCTAAGACAGCCATTTTTCTCAGACTTCCCTTATTCACGATAATGGAATAAATATATGTCTTTGTTTTGACAACCATGAATTTTTAAAAATTTTCTCCAGCCTACAGCTGACTTAATTTTATTTTATTTACATGTGCACTTCAGGAATTAGGTAAAGATAAGTAAGATTGAGTGAACTGTAAAACATTATTCTTAAATAGAATTTGAATTTGAATTTTTTTGGTGATATTCAGTAAAACCCTGGATTCAAAGTTTGTATTTTGCTGTCTAAAGAGTGACATCTGCTGGCAGTATATGTCTGCTGTGTGCTCGTTGTGTGGTGTATGTAGTAAACAGTACACATAGTGTAGCTAAGAAATGATTCACATTAAAATCTATACAGAACTCTGGGTTATGAGCATGCAAGATGACTTCTCTAAATTTTGCAGTTGCTTCATAAGATTTTTAAATGTCTTGGCAACTTTGTCCAATGTAGTAGACATGCTGAATGCTAAGTGCCGAGCAAGTATTTCCATTTGAACTAGATAGATGCCCTCCAGTTCCTTTCAAACAGTTGTTGTTTTGGATGATTGACAGATAAATGGCAGGTTGTGTGATTTCTGTTGTTGTGTCTCTTTTAGTTTGAGATGGTGTTTGCAGTAGAAGTACATTGGCGTTGCGAGTGCTATAATGTTCATATGTCAGAGTGTCTGTACTCCTCTTTAAAGCTGTCATGTAGCTTTTTCCAAAATATGTTTATGCCAGTATGATCACTCAGCCTGTCATACACCACTCACGATGTAGGAGAGCAAGGGACAGCAAAGACACATAAGATGAACTGAAAGAAAACAGAAATCATATGTGCAGATGTAAACTCGAATGCGTCTTAGTTGTTCACACGATGTATTGAGGGAATGACCTATGGACACAGTGAAGGGTTTTCATTAGAAGGCTCAGTGCGGTTTATTTGCCTCCTCTGTGTTTGAATACCAATTTGCCCATACATTTCTTGTAACAGATGTGATTCTAAAATGAGTTGGAGTTTTTCTTTGTACAGTGTGCGCATGAAATCTGAAGCCCAGGGTGTCGATCCACCTTTTGTGGTCGGTGTCTAAGCAGCAGCAGCTTATGCTTTTCGCTTGAATTCCCTCGCACCTTCTACCCGTAAACCATCTTAATGGCGTATAATGTCTTTGCAAAAACCCCTCTGACTCACTGTCTTGCTGCATCCTCACTCGTCTTCACTGTGCAACGTGCGTCCACTGTGTTCCATTACCGGAGGGCGACGGAGGCTCCACGTCGGAGAAATGATTCATCGCTCTCCGTACCACTCTTCCCAGCATGTTGTGTGATCTTTTACAATGCCGGAAGGCCACATTTTCATAGCGTGTCAGAAAAAAACCCATTTAATGAAAATATAAATCGCATTTGTCACTGCTGTGTGTGTCAGGAGCCTTCTGGTAGGTGAATAGAAGCAGATGTATTGACAAAATGTTTTGGCATCATGGTCTTGGATGCAAGACCACATAGTTCCATGTATGTTAAGTCACACAGATTACGCAAAAGCATAATGCTGTCTGGAAGCTGAGTTTGATCAGATCTACCGTAAATTTGGAATTTTGAAATTCTGTATTTAGTATTCTTGATAACCAGCAGTAGTTATTTGCTTTAATTGTAGTAAATTCGTCATTGCTTTTCCGGTTTCTTTATATTATGCCTCTGTTTTATCTGTGCTCCTGTAGCAAACCCATGTCTCCTGTTTACAGAATCCAGAAAAAATAAATCCGCACCCAAATTGTATAGCACACATCACTCACGTACCAGCACCATGCGAGCACGTGAATGTTTCAGAAAGGGTAAACATATGGGAGTATTTTTTTAGCTGTCTCAGTGCTTTTTTGTGTATTCACCCGACTCAGAAATTATCCTTATTCAGATTTGAAATGTGTTGTATTCTGGCCCTGTATTTTAAAGGTTGCTTAGTTTTGTGTTGCTGAATTCCCTCATCCCATTGCTTTAGAAGTCAGGAGGCGAAATCGGTAGGCCTGGTAAAGTTCAGGCCTAGGTTTAGTCTGTTGACAGATACAGTAGTTGTTCATTGCTGGCTGAAGTAAAATACACAGCTCTGCCATATTAGCAAATGTAATACTTGTTATAAAACACCGAGCTTGAAATGGAGGAGTTGCAAGCAAACTCATATCTATTAGAAAGGCTTTATACCTTACACAGGACTTGCTGCTATATGTGGAAACAGAAGGCTAATATTTATACCATGGGCTTGAGGTACGTGGAAAACCAGACATGTACACTGTTGTAACAGAACAGAGCTCTATTTCTTTTACAAGCAGGTACTGTAAAGTCATTATGCACCCTTACAGAAAAATACATAAACCAGTATTGTTTCACCACTTTAAATTAAATAAGCTGACAGTTCTTGGTTTACTAATTCAGATGCTATGATAACATTTGTTAATGTGCTGTGAAGAATGCGTTTATTGAATTCTTCCTTTTTGTCCTGTTCTCTCTAGTCATTTTCATCATATTACAAAGGTGGATTTGAACAGAAAATGACCCGACGGGAAGCCAGTCTCATTTTAGGTGTGAGGTGAGTGGGCATTGCAAAGGGTTTGTTATATCTCAATTCTCAGAGAATCTGTGCTGGTGTCAACTAACATTTCCTTGTAAATGTGTGGGTCAATGTGTTGAGTGAGAAGCTTGCAGTGACAAGGTTTCCTTTATGGTAAGCACACCACAGTTTGCTCAAAATTCTCTCTTCCAGAAACATCTGTGGTTAGATAAAATATTTGGGTTTTGTCCTATACCCTTCATTGTAGCAGCTCGTCAAACATCATGATGTACGTTTCTTCTTCGAACCGTGTTCTTTATTTCTTAATTGACTGAGGAAATAAAACCTCAAATATTTTTGAAATGCTTCTAATTTAAAGATCTTGCCCATGACCACTACTGGTTTCTCACTGACGCATCATCCCGTATTTGTTGGTTTTGTCCTGGATTAAAGGTGACTCATATTTGCCTTTTCAGGTTTTGCATTTATCTCCTCCGAGTCCACTTCAGTGGTCGCAGGTTTAATTACTGATCTTTCATGCTGGAACTCTGGCATTCTAAACAAGCAATTTGGTAAATAGGGTGAATAGACTGGACTTCATTGTTTTTTCAAAGTGTTTGCTAAATTGTGAATTGACTGCAAATTCATGGCCTTCCTGAGAAATTCGTAGGATGTTTCAAGGCTTTTTATTTTTGCTAAGCAGTCATCATCACTTTGAAGGTCCTTTGTTTTCTTTGTACCTAGAGAAAATTCCTATTCCATCACAACTGCGAGCTGGTTTACAGTAGATTTGGTTTACTTTAAAGAGCAGTGTTTTTTTTAGCACTCTTTGAAGTTGTCTTTGATGATCTGATAATTTAAACTGCTCTCATTGATGCAGTTGGGTGGTACTCCTTTGTTTTAGGAAACATTTACATTTCTTTGATTATTTGATTATGGAACTGGCCTGTAAAGTTTGGCTGAAAATTTGTGGGAAATCATGCCACACAGAAGTGCTGTACCAGCTCTCATCTCATGTAAGGCAGGGTTTTTGATCTACTGGAGATTAATTGATTAGACTAGTCAGTTCTTAAGATGTTTGTTTAAAACTGCAGCAGAAACAGTGAGAAGATGAAATTCCAGAAGGACGATGGGAATCGTTTGAAGAGCAATTACAGGGAGATAAATGCAACATATCGACTTGAGAAAAGAAACAAAAAGACTGCATCATGCTTGTCTACTTTGTGTGTTCCATTTACAACAATATTACATGCTTATCCTGTCAGGTTGTTAACAATGGAAAATATGTATAAAATATGTTTTATTTATGTATGAATATGAAATATAGAGCATTGCCTTTTATATATTCTTGGTTTTGCATTTGTAGAAGGCTTTTAGGAGTGGGCCCAGCACTTGTTCTCCTCCAGCAGTTGCACTACACAATAGATCAAGTAGAGAAGTGAGAAATGGCTTAACCATCTGAATGAAGGGGAGAATTTAGGGAGGCCAGATTGCAGAAAACTAAAGTGGAATTTAACCAGCAGGCCAGGGATAACACCCCGTATGTGTGAACACTGAGATCTTTAATGACCAAGTAGTCAGAACCTTATTAATACTGACCTTATTATTATTTACATTATTGTTAAAGGGTATTTATTCTTTTAATAATAAAGATTGTGTATTTCTAATCTACTGTACAGAAATACAAAGCTGAAGAAAAATATAATGAATAGCCCATCCATCCAAGTCCAGTGAAGGCCTTGTTTCTACAAAGAAGGACATAGTCACTTTCTACTTTCTGTATTTTATTTGACTTCTTCAGATTTCATGAATTAGTTTTTCATTAATGGCACTAAAATGAATTCAGTGTGGAAACAACTGTTTTTTTTGTCTCTTGATAGCTTTTTATATTTTTTGCCTTTACAGGTGGGTATTCCTGAAAACACAGTAAATTGTAGTATAGGTTTCGTAACTTTCTGGAAATCATTTGCTTTCTGAAAAGGCTGTATGAAAAAAATGATATTTTTTATATAACTTCTATATCTTTTATCAGGGCATACCTGAAAATATATCACGCTTCTTATTTAGTCTTCTTTCTCTGCAGCCACTTTACACAGATATAGCAATACTGAACCATTCTGGGGATCTCACATTCTCTTCACTTAGTGCCTTTATGCCATTATTAAATTGGCATATCTTTCACATGGACAGAGGTGCCTTGAAGAATATAGTAGTCATAGCAACAAAGTCCAAAATGGTGAACAAAACACCACAATCCTGAAGAAGTGAAGAAGCCTGTGTGCTGGTCATTTTGTTGTTTTTTTTCTTTTTCAATTATATCACACAGTGAAGCAATAAAATTAGTCACTTTTTTTGCAGGATTTGCATGAAGTGTGTAGATATTTGCATTTGATTGCAAAGGTGATATACTGCCTTTTTTCTATTTCCTTCCTTTTTCTGGCAGAAGGACCTGTGATGAAGAAAACCCTTGCAAGAGACCCATAGATTAAACATGAACTCAGTGAAGTCTAAAATTCTGAACAGTGCTACTAAAAGTTACAGTATATTAAATGCAGAAAAGTAAAAAGACGTATCTTGTTAAATACTGTCAGAGCAGATCCAGTGTGAGAAGGTTGGTTTCCCACATCATTAATCTAATGTTGAAACATTTTTCTGAAGACATTCCAACCCCAGTTGGTTGAAAACAACTGCCTTATTGCAGTTACTGATTTAAGTTTCAAAAGAAAAAAACACAAGCAGGGTATACATTTTTCATTGAAACTTCATGTGTTCAATCAAGTGAGGTGTTCTTCAAGCCATGCTAAATATGCCGTATGATCCTTCTGTGTCATATCAAAACCAGTTTGTAAGACTTGCTGTGACTGTATATACGATTTTCACAGCCCACTCTGCCATTTCAGAGCTGTCCCTGGGCTGTCACAATGAGCGTGAGAAGTGGGCTGCAGACTCAATTCATGATTTATTTCTACGTCTTTAAATTGCAGTACGTCAAAGGTATTTGGTTATGGGAGAAAAGCTTAATTAAAAGTATGTAACTCTAAGCTCAGTGTTATCTGAACTAGTGAAAGGCCATGATCACTGTGACCTAGTGCTTCATTCTTCCTTGGTGAGCTGTATAGATGATACTTTGTACGCTGTTCTGATTCATTGAAGATAAACTCATTCTGATTAATTTGATTTTTGTTTATGTTAGCATTGCTTCTGGACTATTTCTCCAAGACAGGTGATGTAAGGTAGATGTAGGTGACTATCTACAATCCATAAAAAAAACCTCGGCAAACTTGCTGTCTCTTCGTGGGGTAAAGATCTTCAAGCTTTTAGGTCCTTATGTTTCACCGTCGTCTAGAGGGCTTGGATGTACTATGTGCCAGTATGGTATTACTCAACAAATGTAAGAGACAATGTAATGCCAAAGTAAAACGGCAAAAGCTCTATGGCAGCAGGGATGCAATTGGCAAACCAGTGATTCCTGCTCCTGGTCCCAGTGACCCACATACCTGTTGGTTTCTGTTTTAGCTGAGCCCTCAGTTATTCATACTTTTCATTGGGGACATGGGGGACCTTTAACTGCTGTATTTTGTAAGTGAAATAAAATCTCAAACTTGAGAGTAGAAATAAAATGCAAATATTCCAATGAAGAAACTTCTTAGATCAATTAAGGTGAAAAATAGCAGGTGTGTGGGTCACCAGGACTGGGAGCCCCTACACTACACTACTTCCTCATCACACAAACCTATAGAGTTGCCCACTCTGTTTCAACCTGCCTTTCACAGCTGTTTCTGGACCCACTAAGGCTTCTCTGCAGTAAACCAATACAAACTGGGCCTAAAGGGGAACCCAGATTGCAGCTGTGGTGCAGCCCAACCAGTGACACACAGGCCTTAAAGTGCCCCCACACCAGAATCAGAGGTGGGCACCCCGCTTAGACCCTGGGGTTGCTTTTGTCTGTCTTGGTGATGTAATGTTGAAAGCCCCCACATGCTAAATCAAAATGAATTTAAGCACTTGGGCAATGCGCCCAGAGTATATGTAGTGTTTTTTTTTTATAGCAGAGGAGGGGAATTTTTAAACTGTCATAAGTTTTAATTTAAACATGTCTGGTGCAAACGTTTTTTTATAAAGAAAGGGTTCTGTCTTCTGTTTTATTTCAGTCTTATTTTCTAGCCCTCTGCCCTACTGTCCTCGACATCATAAATGAGTCTTTGAGCACTGAAGTGGGACCAGTGGCCTTAAAAATAGCTTCAGTTCGCTAATGCCTAGAAAATCACCCATGAACTTGAACTTTATTGCCATATGTAACCGGTACTGGTACAATGGAATTCTTACTTACAGAAAGTCTCTCGATTGTTAAAACAAGTGTAAAAACACGAAGTGCAGACAGTGTATCAAGACAGTATACAAACGAACAGTAGACAATGTACAAGCAAACAAATAAACAGTTTGAATGTAAACAATGCAGACATGTAAACAATGACATGGCTTTGGACAACCTTAACATTTTTTATCCTATATCTAACTTGCCTTTTTTTTGCCAAAATTTTGGGATGTGTTGTTGCACTACTATTTAATGGTCACCTCACTGCAGATTACCTCTTCAAAGCCTTCCAGTCTGGTTGTACACAATTAAACGCAGCTCAGAAACTGCCCCTTGTTAATGTAACTGACTGTTTTCTCATGCCAGCTGGTTCTAGTTGTCTATCTATCCTAATTGACCTAGACCTAAGTGTTGCTTTTGACACTGTTATGTTATTTTACTCTCTTGTCTTGAGACAGTATTTGGTGTTTCTGACATCGCTCTTAAATGGTTCAACTCTTATCTTGCTAATCACCGGCACTTTGTTTCTCTTGAGGGTTTAGTTCTGAAGTTGGGTTTTTAAGGGCTGGTGTTTCCACACTTGAAACTAAGCCCCCTGCTGTTCAACATTTGCATTTTCCCACTTGGTCACATATTAAAATTACATGGTCTGAATGATCACTTTTATGCCGATGATACTCAAATCTGTGACCATACTAAATCTGATACTGAGGTGGCTGTGTCTGCACTCTCTAATTGCATCTCTGATATAAAAACTTGGATGACTTAAAATTTCTTCACCTAATTTTGGATAATACTGAGGTCATGTTACTCAACATCTCCCTTTACCTATGGTAAAGCCAAAGCAGTAACTTGTAAATTTCAGTCAAAATTGAAGACTCTGTGGGTGGTACTGAATCCTGGCTTGACTTTTGACCCACGCTCAGAATATTTTAAACATCATTCTTCCATCTCACAAACATTGTCAGACTACGTCCTGTGTTGTCTTTGACTATAGCAGGAAAGCTGGTCAACACATTTGTCTTTTCTAGAATTGATTACTTCAGCTCCCTGCAATCCACACTGAACAAACACCAATATGTTCAGAGTTTAAAGCCAGAATCCTGACCGGCTCGCATGAAAGCGATCACATTACTTCTGTCTTGGAGTCAGATCAACAAGTCAGCTTCAAAATCCTCATGCTTACTTTTAAGGCTGTACATGGCTTGGCACTTCTGTACCTGTCTGACGTATTATTTGTGTACTCCCCGCCTTCGAAACCTTTGTTCGTCTGACTCTGGTCTTCACATACAGTGTTCCCCAAGTTCGTTAACATTCAATGGATTACATGGTTTTCTCTTTCTATGCCCCAAAGATCTGGACATCTATTTCCATGGATATCAGAGAATCACATACGAGTGCATTTACAGTTAATCTGCATTTACAGTAAATATAGAGTCTGAATGGTTTCAGAAACGTTTTTATTTAATTTGTGTCAGTTTATGCTCTATTTTCTAATGACCTTGTATCTTGCTTCACTTTTAACTGCTTGTGTTGCTTATTTTGTAGTTTGCGATCCCTATAACAGTGTTCCTATGATTTAACTTTTTAAAGCTGCTGTGTAACTTTTTTTTTTAAAGGTGCTGTGTAAAACTTTTAAAGAATTTCTTGGCCTTTTGGTTAATGCATTATTAGAATTCTACCACTAGATGGAGACATGCTCCTCACGTGTCTAAGCCTTTCTGCTCTGTCTTGCAGCCCGACAAGTAACAAGACCAAGATAAGAGAGGCTCATAGAAGGATCATGGTTTTAAATCACCCTGATAAAGGTCAGTCCATTGCTCGCTCATCCATTGCTTTTTGTGTTTGGTTGGTAACTCTCTTTAAAAATATATACCTAATTATACCAATTGGTAAAAAATTCCTTAAACACTATCAAGGTACTCCCCAAATAATGTGAAGTTCGGCACAACCTTATGATAGCCATATGTTCACACTTACAATTTTGACATCATTTTGAAGTATTGCAACAAAATAAAATTAATTAGTTCATTCATTAGGCTCTCCTCATCAGTCAGCGTGTCGTACACCTATAGAGTGTGCCACACTCTGACTCCTGTCCGAATAGTCTGCACTAGACCTTGATTCATCACGTCAGAGTTCACCTGAGGTGCCGCTCCAAAATACAGGGTTCAGCAGGTTGAGTCACATCACTACTTGTGCCCAGTTAGCTTTCTGACTAATGAACTTTCTGACTTTCTGACTGTTTTTCTTTGCTGAATGTTTTAAAAACAGATTTTTAAAGTTTTTTTAAGAACTAAAGTATTCGCTGAAACCTCCCATCATCTAGCATGAAACGGTTGTTTTGGTCACATTTTAGGTGAAAACTTATAGTTAACAAGGTGAAATATTTTCCCTTGAAGTATTCAATACACGGATTACTCAAGGACTTTGTTCTGCTATTTTCTTTGGGTCTCATCCATTTTCTTGAACAAACATACCATGATCTAAAAGCATTTTTCATGTGGGAAATTCACTACCCAAGGACAAACTGGGAGCTCACTGATTTTTAATTCAGTGTGAGAAATGGCTACCGTCAGATTTATATCACCCTGCTGAAGATAAGGATATTGAAGTCCTATCTCTTCTTGGTATTGTAACCTCCTTTTTGTAACATTAAAGAAGGATTCTTGCAAGACATCTCAAAGCGAGTAATGTGGTGCACTGTGACTGTCCAGTTTTCCACGTTAGTGTCACCACCCTGGATCACCTGAAACGGGAAAGTCACTTCCTATTACTACAAGGCACCAATCAGCACCTTCTTTAAAAGTCAAGCTAGCAAAAGCTTAGGTGTGGGGAATATGTTTTTTTAGTGCTTAAAGACAACCTTCAGAAGAAAAAAAATCACCTTTTTAAATGCGTTCATCCTCTTGTTGTTGACTATTAGTTTGCACCTGATAAACCCTTGACGCAGACTCAGTATACTGCTGGGGTAAATCTGTTGAATATGAAATATCTCATCTTGAATATAATTCCATTCTCTCCTGCAGTCTAGCGAAAAGAAGGCAAGAGATAGGTCACATCTGCTATCTGCATATTTGGTCCAAATAGTCTCTGGTCCAAAATACCTGCAGTCCTTTCTCTAAGCAGCTACAGTAGCTCACGGGTGTTGCATGGGCTACATGGAGATAATGTCTTTATACAGTAGTATTACTGATATTGTTAATGTTCTACAAATTAAAAAGGGACCGACAGGGTGAATGGACAGATTGGCTATCATCCCATTCCCATTGTGTGTTTCAATATGTTAACAAAGAGCAAAGTGGAAAATTGGTTGGTGTTCTTTAGTCAAATAATGCATCACCTATCTTATTATGATTGTTTTTAATATATTGGTCCATGCCATGATCGCAGCATTCTGCACGTTTCCAACAATGTCCTACCAGTAAAGACAATTTAGGTAAAATCAAAATATCTGAAAACAAACGCTGCTTAATGACTTCATTCATTGTATTTGTGTAGGAAGTTCGCAGAATGTATAATTGCACTAAAGTTCTAGAATTTGTAGCAGGGCTACTGAATGTTTAGCACATTCAGTTTGTTCCATACAAGAATTTTGATGCTACCAGCTTCTTAATAGTTGTGTTGATCCCACTGTTTATCAGTCAAATGTTGAAGGAGATAAATGTAGTAAAGTTCTGGAATGGAGAGGGTCACAAGGGTTTAATGATAAATCCACATGATAAACTGTGTAGGAATGTAATTTGTACTGTATGGTCACATTGCATTTTAAAATGAGGCTTGGGTAGGGTCTCAATTTGCAGCATCTGGTAAGGATTTTAAAGCGATGTTGTGAATCTCCAAATATAGCGCTTTTAGGCACAGGACATAGAAACAGAGTGGAATTAGTGGAACATGAATACCGTAAAAAACATGGTCACCAGATGTTAAGAGCTCTCTAGCTTAGGACAATACTTTTAAATGTCGAAACGCAGGGGATAATTAGTGTAGATAAGATAGGTGTGGAGTAATATTTTTGTGCTGCTGTGTTTTGTGCCAGCTGGAGCTGGAGCCAAGGGGAGTCCAGTAATTCTAGATGTCCCAAGTGAGAAAGGTCAAAAGTATCAGGAGAAAATCAATATCTGTGAGAGGAGGAGATGTGTATGGGGATGGTGGGAGCGTTTAATCATAGTGGTAATTTAGATATGGTCAGGGAAGAAGGTGTAGTCAATGATGGTCTTCTGTTTTAAAATAATCGGAAAGGGAAGTGGATATACTTGAGTCTTATTTGTTTTTCCCTTTTTCCTGCCCTGGTGAATTGGATTGTTCATTTGAACAGCACACTGCTTCCTGTGTAACAGTGTGACACATTAGCAGTCCCAGCTTACTAGTACTCCATGATATCCATTAGCATGCCTTTGGTGCACTTAATTCATAATGCAAGTGCTCCTCACAAAATCACAGGTATATTCCTAAAAAGTAGGCATACAGAACTGTACAAATAGCTGTGTCAACAGCTCTTCTATAATCGCCCATTTGGCACAATGAGGGTAATGTCTCTCGGAGGCTGCCAGCAGTGTGAGCCTCATATGCTGTTGCTGATGCCTTGAAAGCAGGCAGATGGTTATTACTCTAGGGAAGACTTTTCACAGACTAATCCAGTGTAACTAAATCATAAGCTGGACTAGATGACCGCTTTGTGCACTGAAACCCTATATCCTAGCTTGGTTTCTCTGCTTGGTTTTTCACCTCCGGAGGGAATTCTTCAGACTATAGCCAGGATGAGTTTAGAATCATCTGAAGTACTCCATGCATATGATTGTGATGTTAGGGAAATGTTTGTTGTTTGAATAGTTATGCTTCCTATATCCCATATACACATGTCAGGCCAAGTTTAGATCAGCTGTTTTTTCACCCCACCTGATTCATACTGTAGCTGAGATTCAAGGTGACCTAACATGTTCATACTTGTAGCGAACTTACAGTATCTTTGATAAATAAAAAAGCGAAGTTAACTTGACAGCTGATGCAGACAGTGGTTGAGATCATTCAGATGCGCAGTAATGTCAGCTAAAAACATTATTTATGTGACCCATTTGACTTCATCATACAAAGGTTTGGATTGTATCGAAAACTGTACACAAATCCTGCCAAAAGCCTTCCCACAGCTATGCCAGTAAACATTGCTGTGAAGCCAACTGTCCTTGTATGCACTGTCCATTTCCTGAAGCAAGGCTTGAAAGTACAGTACCTGTGTGAAAGCAGATTAAGCAACAAGAATGTCCCCTATCTTTGCCACTGTTGATGTTGCTACTCACGACTTGGAAATCTTGGCGCAATTAGTTTCTTGATGAATAATACAATTAAAATTTACTGTCAGTTTGATCCACAGTGGTTTTTATACAGCCATTTTGTTTTCTGACCATAACAGAGTACCATCAGTTGCTTAGTACATTGTATTTTTCTTAGACAAATCATTTAATACAAAATCTGAACAACTGAGAAAAGCCTCTCTTATATATTCCCTATCTGTTATGCTACACATTGTACTTCCCTCTGAGGCTTGTTTCTTTTAACTAAAGAAATAGTCAAATTAGTCACTAGTTCACTTGTGGCAGCTAGGCAAATTAGCAGTCAGTACCAGAAAAGGATTAGAATTACACTGTAGTGCATGTAAGGATGTTAAAAAAACTGTATAGAAAGAATTCAAGAGTAGAGAAACATCTGGAAGATGATGTTCAGTCAAGACTAGTCCATTATGTTATACATAGAAAGCAAAAACTTTTGTAAAAAAAATTATAAATAAAAGATGGGAAATCCCAAATTTGAACATGCTGCTTATTCAAAAGACTAAGGTATTTATATTGATGCATTTTTTTCTTTTTTAAACCATGTAAGGGAGCAATTAAAAAGGCAAACAGTATCAGTTATACATATTTTAACATGACATTTAAATCAAGGGATGTAATTAAAACTGTTTAATGCACTGTTGTGCTCTAATTTATGCTCTGTAAACATTTCAACGAACCATAAATTTTCTCTTGCTTAAATTTTCACTGACAGAGTAAAATGACTGATATTGTTATTGAACAGAGAAAACTCTTAGAGGACCTGATTGAAATATTCAGAATCCTCAAGAAGGCAAGACAACGTAAGTCTTAACAAGTGAGTGAAATAATCACAAGAGCAATAGAATCAACAGTTGAAATAAGAACTAGCCGACCCAAATGGAAACTAAGGGCAAGTAATTTTTTAAAATCTGAAATCTTGTGAACCATCTTGTTGATACTGGTTCTGGCTTTTTTCAAGAAATAGTTGGATGAGATTCTTTGATTCACTGGAAACTAACAACCAAACAGACCTACAGTAAACTGAAGCTAAATGGCTGCCTCTAGTTTGTACATTTTGTGATGATGTTCGTTTTGAGTGTCTTTACTCCTCATTTAAAAGATGTCTTGTAGCAACCTAAAACAATATTATGAATGGGGTATAGTGTCTTTATTTGGTTTTGTTGTCATGTCAGATGGATTTCCAGGAGGTGGGAAACAATGCATTCCACCCCTCTAAGGAACCTAGCTTTTTCCTTTGAGTCATTTAAATTGCTGTTTTGTTCTTGTTATTATTTTTTCCTCAGAATAATGTATTTTTTACCAAATATTGTTTTGTACTGCATATTACAGTTTATATTAGATATCCACCCAGCATATGAATTAGGGGCTGCAGTCTGTTAAGTGTTTTTCTGTGTATAGGTATATAATGCAGGCAAAGAAAGAACTGCAAAACAATAATGGAATTAAGCTCTGCTGGTTCTGATGAATCAGCCAGTTTGTGGCTAACCTTTAGCATGAATAGAGAATCTTCTTAGGAAAAATAATTGGGTATGCTGTATATGGACATTCATGCAAGGTATGAAGTAGAAGCTTTTCTGTCAACCTAGTTTTATCGATTTGCAGATAAATAAACTTATCTTCTATTCTGAGGTTGTTTTTTTAAGAGCACAGAGCATGTTACCGGGGGGGGGGGTCTCCTTTTATCTTTGAAAAAATCTCTCTTATCTTTTATCCCTTTTTAGCATTTGTTTTGTAAAGAGCAAAAACTGAAATTTTGCATTCCACGTCTACAGCAGATCAAGCCATGAAACAGCCACACAGCCTATATAGAGAAGTAAGATACTACAACTGCTGTGTCTTATTTATCAATGTGCTCTTATTGCAGGTGGATCTCCCTACTTGGCGGCTAAAATCAATGAAGCAAAAGACCTTCTGGACTCCAGCTCTCGACACTGACTCTGTTCTTATCAAAAACAGTTCTGGACAGCAGCCTTTGGAATTTCCTCTTTCCTCAGCTCCTTAGTTCCTCTGTACCGACTGGGACTGGAATCTGACTCACTAAGGAAATATTAATCTTCTGTTTATGTGAGATTGAGGTCATGTGTAGTTCAACTTCAGTATCACATATATTCACAGGGAAAGGACCCAGTGGTTCCTTTGCCTGGTCCTGAGGGACCACTGTGCCTTTTTGTTTACAAATGAGCCCTGAATCACCAGTGCTAACTGGTCCCTGTAGTTGGCCTGCTTACTTTGACTTCTGTACTCAGTCCTCATTGCAGAAATAATCGCCTAGAAACATGTTATTTATAACCGCTTACGCATACAGCCTGTCCTTAATTCTGAATTTATAGCTATTAATAGTTGAACAATTTGTGATAAACAGACACAGTGGAAATGAAACATTCCCGCAATGAGTGTGTTTTTCCCTTCTGTTGAGGTTCAATTTAAAACTTTTGAGGTAACACCTGAATAAGGGGAGTTGTGAAACGCAGACATTGGCAGAGCATTGATACCGATTACAAATCCCATTCAGCGGTTTAAGAGCTGAAAGGAAATTTAAAAATATGCTCCAGATAGAATATTGAAATCAATTAGCCTGAGATTAACATCTCTGCAGGAACAAAAAAACGGAAAATACAATAGTTCCCAAGGATAAGGGGAATAGATCTCTGTAATGGAAATACTGAAATAGTAGTTGCACTGCCTTTGAGACGACAGAAAAGAAATGAATCATTTAGCATTGTCATTTTGTCATCAGATGCAAAGGAAGCAAGATGGATTTTGTTAGAAAACATTTTTTGAGTGAACATGGGTAAGCAAATTATTTTAAAGTGCCCCAAATTTGGAGGATATTGAAGCACTACTAGTATGACAAACAATGCCCTTGAATATAATAAATATTAGAAGTGATAGGGTTAAGTGTTGCGTGAACTTTGGATATTGAAATATCAGAAATTAAATATGTAAATAACTTCCTAAATGATTGTAATTTAATCAAATACATGTTATTCCCCAGCAACATATTTCTCTTTGCTGTTACACAAGAAGCAGATGTTTTATTTTCTGTTGCAATTTGAAGGCTTTTTTGCTTGTATTTTTATTTTTTGCACCCGTTTCTTATTTGCTATTATTATTCTGAGAATTTACTTGAAACATTATGTGGTCTATTACAAAACTCAATTGCATAAAGTTGTCATATGTCTGGCAGCTTATAAATACTGCCATGGAGGCCTACACCTGCAAGTACACAGCCACCACCACACTCATTCAAGGCCCCTCAGGACAATTTCGGATCACCCAGACAGCATCTTGTACCTCCAGCAACCTTATTTACTGTATCTCTTGCAGTAAATGCCCAGCCATCTACATTGGAGAAACAGGAAGGAGACTCGGAGACTGCTTCAGAGAACACGTCAGGGCTGTGAAGATTAAAGATCTCTCCAAGCCCATTGTTTCTCATTTCACCTCTGACGGCCATGACCACACTAATCTCTCCGTCTGTGTTCTCAAAGACGGTTTTCCGAACTCATACATCAGAAAGACCACCAAAACTAAAATTATTCTGCAGTTAGGATCACACATTCTCCCTTCCCTTAACGACAGGGATGGAATTTTCTCCATTCATTGGAAGTTTCATTTCACACCTCTCTGCACCCATTCTGACTTCACACCTCTTGATTGGCCTCTCTTTCTGTCCCCTGCTCCCGCCTCTCACTCCTCCTCCCTCCCAACCTTTGTTCTCCCGCTACTTTACCTTTGCCTACTGCCCTGTCTCTCTCACACCTGAAGAAGGCTCCACGGCCGAAACGTTGTGTTCTCTTTCTTCTTTTTTCAGCATGGAATAAACCTAGTTCCTTTGCAGCTTATAAATACTACCATTTGATTTTTTTAAAGTGAGTCTTTAAAGGTCAGCCCCTTAAATTGTGTTATCCCATTTATGGTTGTTAATGTCAGACTTCCATCTGGACTGGTGAATCTAGAGTTTAAAAACAGAATTTGCCAAAATATGGCCTCCTAATAATCCCCATCCCAATCTCCATCCAATTGGCTTCATTACTCTGTCCTCCTCTCCAGTGATAGCTGTCCAGAAAAGGCTAGAATATACCCAAGTGGTTGGTATAGTTAGAGGCACATGAATTCTTTGTTCTCTGAAACAGTTCTGGTGAAAACAGTAATAATCCAGGCACACTTGGACAAATTTATTATCAATGATAGTCACACACACTACACACAACATAAACATACAATGCACAGTTTACTCTATTTACAAGTCTACAGACAAGGTGTTTCAAAATCATACTTCTAGTTCACCCAGAAAACCCCAGGATGCTACCAAGTATTCAACTCTTAAATAATGCCTACAGAAACCAAAATAAGAGATAAGGTGCCTTCTAAACTAAATGAAATACAACCTGTAGTAAACTGTCTCTGTAAACCCTGTTGCCACAAATTAAATAGCCTATCTCTCTTCTAAAAATCCACTCCCAAGGAGGAAAGGCTGTTTTTAACCAAGGTGTTCTTGACTTAGGTAGCCCGTTTCCTATTAATACAGAATAGCAAGCTTTCTCTGGCAAGGTTCAAATACTTATCTTATTTTGTGTTTTGTTCAGATGATCAAGATCTCATCTGGCACAATCTCCACGTTCCATCTCTTCTCCTGTTCTTATGGTCTGATCTTCTTTTCCCTTCTCTTCTGCTGTCTGATCTTATAGTGCGTTTCTGGACTGTTTATTGACACTTAATCATTTACCTACAATTTAAGGTAAACCAAGGTGAACTTTGATTGCTTTGATAGCAGTATCTGGACTCCCTACATCTCACCAAACATTCCCTTTGCTTTTGAGCACTAGGAGGTGGAAATATTGACACTAGGTATTAACCATTGTGCATAAATTCTTAGAGACCTCCATTGTCATTTATCTCAGTTTGTAACTATCCTGGACTGAGATGTTAAATAATATATATAATCTCCTGGTAATCTGTTTATGATTATTGTGAGCAATTAATCCAGAGAGAAGGTTTAGGAGCATGGAGTTGGGATTTGTGTATTTCTCTTCTGAGAATGTTTTTTAAGAGTTTCTTGACACTTCTCCAATGAATATGCTGGTGAACCTGTTTTGTAGTTAGCTCTGTGTTGTTGGCGTCACTCAGCCTCCCCTGGCTATTGCTATTTTCAGCACATCCTCTCACAGAAGTACACCAGGTGGACTGTAGAACAATATGTACTGTCTGTGGGGATACATTTCCATTAAGAAGTGTAAAAAGCATTAGTTTAAAAAAAACAGAATTGATGTACATTTACAGTATACATAACCAATGCAATGATTTTGTATTGGCATTGCTTATTTATCTTGTATGAAAAAATGTGGGGAAGAAACAGACCTTTGATGATGTATCTGAAAATCTTGTTTTTTACTCTTCATTTTTTGCCGTACTGTGCACAAAGAAGTCAAACCACTTTCCAATTTGTTTTGCTCCATGTGTCCATTTTTATAAGGCAAAAAATCATTATCCCAAACTGTACAAACTACATTTATGTTATTAGTAGCAGTAAATGCTATGGTGAAAAATAATGTTTTATATTTCTTTTATTGTGCCAAAAGGTTAGATATTGCAGAATTAATTTTGAGCTTTAAACTGGTCCAAGTTTTTGCAGTGTCTATTTCTCTCTTTTCCTTAATCATGAGTTGTAGAATGTGTTAAAGTTGTCCTGAACCAGTCTGTTGTCAATTCAAGACTTATTCTGGTTAAGACGTACCTGCAGCTCACAGAGACAGTATTAAACATAGGGTGTCTTGTAATGCATAATATGTCTCAGGTTTGTCAGAAACAATTTTGTTTGGAGGTTTGTGATTTGAGGGTTTTATTTGTCTTACGGGGCAAAACGTTATGATTACATTTGATAGAATGTGTTCTATATAGTACAGAGATAATATCTAATATTGATTAAGAAACATGGACTTAAAGTGTCTGATATCATGCTGATGTTTCCATATTAAGTTTACTTGTGCAGTGGAAAGAATATTGCTAATACAGGAATTTGTTGTATACCATACCAATCTGTTCTCTTTCCCGTTGTCTAGGTGAAGTGAATCTCGGCAGTAGTCACAAGGCAGCCGCTATTTAACTTTCTATTTCTTCGCAGCACTTTTGGCTCCAGGTCAAAAATGGACACTTCAGTAAACTGCGTTCTGAGTGAGGCTGAGCTGGTCGTGTTAAGCTAATGTTAGTGAAGTGTGAATCCGCTGCTGCTGGTCATGTGGTCAGACTATACAGTAGGTCTTTGATCTGTGCATACAGCTACTGCAACTGCTTTCAGAGGCCTCAAATTATTTATTTATCTTGCGGTAGATCTGTTATTAATAAACTTTCCATTGCTGATATCCTGGATGTGTTCTGAGAGAATACCACGGCACTCTGTGCTTTCGCTTAAAAAAGAAATGGATAGATTTAATGTGATGCACAAGGCGGCCATGTGTTTGCTCAACAGGGGTAAAATAGCAAAAGGCTAAATGTTATATACAGTAATTCCTCTACCTCTTTTTTCAGTGCTGTAATTCAAAATAAAGTTTTCAATCCATTGATTGCATCCATCCAGCCAAAAATGACCTGCTTGATTTAGTCTGTATCCCATTTTGTCAGCATTTAATTCGGTTTTCAGCTGCTTAGCCGAAGCCTCTGAATAAAAAGCGACAGACACTTAACAGAGAGGTCCTAAAATTCAGAATTCTGCTCAACAGTGCTGAGGAAAAACAAATTAAGATCTCTATTTTTAGACAGCCTTTGAACATGGCAGTGTTCCTTGAGGAAAAAAAACTCCCCGTGATAGTGTCTACAGCGATGCAAAAGAATTCAATCACAACATGATGCTGTTTTAAAACAAAAATATAACTCGTGAATACCATTCACTCAAAATGCTTAATTACACATTCAGAAAACAATGAATAAGAAATTAACATTTAAGCTTGTCTGTTCATTTCTTGGCAATTTTCTTGTTATTTTGATGTGTATTATTTGCAACATTACACCGTTTTTTTGTCATCTAATGTGCTACAGACATACTAAAGTCAAACCCCATCTCTGACAAGTTGCTGATATGCAGGCCAGTGAGGATATACAGGCAGTTTCTTCAGAATCCTGGTGACTAATGCCAGGAGCCCAGTTATAATGTCTAGGCAGCTGGCTTTTCCTAGCCTGCTGAACTGCTGGTATTATCTACACAATGTATAATAATAATAATAATAATAATATCATCACTTTATTAGCCCTTTACAATTTTTTGCATTAGGAATTATCTTTTCACATACCCCAGCTTGCTCTCCATGAGACAAACAGATAGGGAGAGAGCCACCCTATCTGTGTCATAGATCCCTCCTTATCTGTGTCACAATATCATTGTACAACACCCCTTGAGCAGTTGGGGTTAAGGGCCTTGCTTAGGAGCCATACAAAGTAGGATTCCCCTGCCGGCTGCAGGATTTGAACCGGCAACCTTCTAGCCACAAGCGCAGATCCTTAGCCACAGACCCACCACTCTGCCCTATGGAGTGTAAAGAAGTTACACATCTTCTTTAAAATAATATAATCATGTATCATGGTCAGGAGATTAATCAGGGTGAGAAATAACCCTTTATACCCATTTCTGTAGGAGAAACAAGGATGTTTTATGAAATGTATTTGATTTAAATGATTAAAACAGCACTTTTTTGGTATTTCTTCCAACTGTTTAAAAGGACATGTAAAACACTATGTCTGTACTGTATTATAATATCAGTTTGACTGGCAGATATTTTCTGATGTTTTCATTCTAGGTGTCCTATAGTATATTTATCACAATAATTTGTTAAGCAATATGAAAACAGCTATTATCCAGCTGCAGATGGCTAAGAAAGGCTTGTAAGTGATTCTCTCCACCTCCAAGAATCTCATTAGCAGTGTAAGGTTATGATACACTCCACCAAACTGAGACAGCTTGTGAAA